ACGAAATGGGAGAAACTGACTTCAAGGGAAGAGTGGGCACTGCATGCCAGCCCTGCGCCCAGTGCCCCCCGTCATGTCTGCTCTACCCTGGACCTTCCTGGAAGGTCTGCAAGGAGCTTGAAGGGAACCCCCCCCCCTTGATCAGGAACTGTGCTCACCTTGGCAAGGGTGGGGCTAAGAGGTGCACATGGGAGAGAGCACCTTCCCACTCCTTCCTAGCTGAAGCTCTCACATATTCTTTAGAATCCTTGAATAGAAGTATATATTAAATAAAAACAGGTTAACTTAGATTCAGAGTCCACTCAGCTCTTTTCACACTACCTGCAATACATGGCATTTCTCATCTTTAAATGGAAAGACTTACAGAAGAAGTATATATCAGTTTTGCTACAGATTTTTAAAAATCAAGTAGAATTAATTTGCTATTCATCTGTTGGTCAATTTTCTTAACAGAAGGCATCCATTAAGAAACAAATAACTTCTGTGTGCTGCCTTGCTTGGTTGAACAAACTAGGGAGTGCTTCACACAAAGGCCTCTGCAGTCAATTTTCAAATTCCCACAGGGTCAATGCAAACCGTCATGAAAAGAAAAACTGCATTACAGTGAAATGACAGTTTGCATTACATTTGCACCTTCCGTGGCTGTCTGGAATAAAATGGCACAGTGCAAATGCAAGGAGAGTGTTGACTTTGCGTAGACCGAAACTCCCTTTATCAAGGTCACAGGCAGCTCAAACTTTTAATGATGCATCCGTAGAGCTGGTGTTTCCTTCTTTATGTTTAAGTACTGCATTACTTAGTGACTTAGCCAAGTTAAGCGAAGGAAATCATTGGAAGGAACTTCTCCACTCCCCCACCTCCAGCAGCCTTGGGAACAATATTCTGGGGGAACTGTTCAAATCTGTGTTTTTTTGTTTTGTTTTTATATAATTTTATTAAACAAACATTACAAACATAACATACAAAAAAGCAAAAAACAAACTAATAGTACATTAGATATTCCTAGATAGTTATTACAGTATACATAATTGAATTGTCAAGAAACCAAAATAAATATGTATTATATAAAAGAAGTAAAAATAGAGAGAAAAGAAAAAAGGGAAAAAAGAAAACTGAAAAATTAACAAAACTACCTATTAAACAAAAATCAATATTTAATTAATTCAAACCAGTACCAGGGTATTCTACTCACAAAGTCCCTCATACTGCATTGAGTCCCTTTTTCAATTTGTTGGTTTGTTGACTTCCGTCTACTCTTTGCAGCTTCAATTCAGCCACTTCTATCTTTGATCTGTATTTAATTATTTGTTTCAGTCTTGGGATACCTCTATCTGCGAAATTAATCTAAACACAGCCAAGTGTTATTGCTGGAACCATATTTATTCAAGTAATTTTTAAAATATTCCCATTCTTTCTTAACCTTATCTATCAATTGATTTCTTATCAACTGTCATTTTAGCAAGTTCTAAATACTTGCATAATTTTAATTGCCATTCCTCCCTTAGTTTGTTCTTCCAATATTTCGCTGTTAAGACTCTTGCTGCTGTAACTGCGTAGAGGAACACTCTTTTATTTTTGTTTGGAATGTTTATTGTGAAAATGCCCAGTAAAAATGCTTCTGGTTTTTTTTTGAAATGTATGTTTTAGCATTTTTTTAACTCTTCATAAATCATGTCCCAAAATAATTTACGGTAATTTTGGGACAGGTCCACCTGCTGTTCCTACCTGATGTTTACATCTCCAACATTTGTTGTTGTTGTTGTTGCTGTTGTTTATTTTGGCTAATTGTGATGGGGTTAGGTACCATCTAAAGGTCATTTTCATGAAATTTTCTTTAATTAGATAGCACGCTGTAATTTTTAAATTGCTTTCCCACAATTCCTCCCATTTTTGTAGTTCAATTGGGTATCCGAAATCCTGCGCCTTCACCATCACATCTTTAACTTCTTCATCTTTCAAGTTCCAGTCCAGTTGTACTCTCTATATTTTTGATAATATATTTCTATTGTTTTGTAATAATTCTTTGTCTAAATCCAATATTTTGGTCTCAAAGTCCTTCATTTTTTTGTCTATTTTAAAGATTTCATTTAAATGGTAATTTTGTAACCAATTCATACCTGTCTCTTGGAGTTCCTCTTTTCCTTAAGTTTCAGTTGTTTGTTTCTTCCTCTAGTAGTTCCTTGTATGTTGGCCAGTTATCTTTCATATTTTTTTTTTTTACTGCTATTGCCTCAACTAGGGACAGCCACCATGGCGTTTTAGGTTCCAATAGTTTTTTGTTTCGTTCCAACACGGTGAATAATGCTTTTCTAATTATATGGTTAAGGAATCCTCCGTGGTTTTTAACTTTATCATATCCTAGATAGCCGTGCCATCAGAATCTATTGTCCCAGCCTTCAATATCGAGTATGTTTACATTTTTAAGAGTCATCCAATGTTTGAGCCACACCAGGCATGCTGCTTTGTAATATAATTTAAGATCTGGTAGCGCAAACCTGCCTCTATCTCTAATTTCTGTTAATAATTTGTGTTTTATTCTTGGCTTTTTACCCTGCCAAATGAATTTTGCCAAATGAATTTTGCCAACCTTTGAAACAATTTACTCCACTAATTATTGGTATTGTTTGGAATAGGAACAACATCTTCAGCAGCACGGTCATCTTAACTGTGGATATCCTTCCCCAAAGGGACAAATTTAACCTTCCCCAGATTTACAATTATTTTTTTTACTTCTTTCCATGTTTTTACGTAAACGTTGTAAAGATTTTTATTTTTTGTCGTGATCCAAATTCCTAAGTATTTCGCTTTATTGGTTATCTTTAACCCCATCCTGATTTCTAATTCTCTCTTTTCTTCTTCATCCAAATTTTTCACTAACCATTTTGTTTTATCTTTATTCACCGGCCTGGGTGATTTCCCCATTTTTGTTTTGATTTTATTACTTGTCGTAATTCTTCTGTACTTATGGGCGAGTTTAAATACTTTTGTTCCTCTTCTGTTATTATTGGTAATTTATTTTGATTCAAATATTCTACTAGTTTAGTTTCTTCTTTTTCTTCAGTTTTATATAATATTTTGTAATAATTTATGAAGCTCCTTTTTATTTTTTTCTGGATCCTCAATCTCCTCCCTTTGATTATTTATTTTCCGTATTATTTTATCTTTTTGTCTTTTCTTTAGTAACCATGCTAACATCCGCCTAAGCCATTTAATTTTGTTTTCTACTTCTTTGTTAATTAAATTCGAAATGTGTGCTTGTAGGATCTTAATATCTTGTCTGGCCTTTTCATTTTTTGGTGTTTTTGACCAAGTCTTTCTCACACTGTCTGATCTGTTTTGTTATTTGCTGTATATTATTTCCCTCTTTCCCCCTCTTTATTGCTGTCAAATCTGTGTTTGGATATTAAAACAGGTTAAGTTAGAAAGCATCACAGCCATTTCCCCCGTACCCCATACCTGATTCCACGTTGCTCAGGGGAGGCTTCTTGGCTGAGCCCAAGTAGACTTTCCAGGGAGATGAATATCTGAAGGAGGAAAGAGGGGACGAGAAACCTGCAATCCGTCAATTTCTGTGGGTGACAAGGGTACAGCATGAGACTCTTCAACTCAGGGTCATGTGTTTGAGTCCCCATTGGGCAAAATATTCTTGCATTGCCGTGGGTTGGACCAGATGAGCCTCATGGTCCCTTCCGACTCTACAGTTCTGTGATTCTGACTTACATCCAAATCACAAATCATGGATGAGGATGTTTTTATTATGGTCCAATCTGAGGGCTTAATGGATGTGCTTCCTTCAAGAGGAGAGGGAGGGCTGGACAAGGAACAGATACCAAACACCCAGGTCTCTGCCCAAGATTGCACTCCTGAAATTAGAAAACATATTTGAAACCCCCTGGTACCTGCCCACCCATTTTAGCACCATCATTCAGCATTACCATATACAACTGGGAGATCAGGGCCACAGATGAGAAGCTCCAGGCTAGCAGTGTGCACATCCCACCCTCTCAGGAAAAAGATAGTAAGTCTGCTTCAAGTCTTCCCCCACCAAGTCAAGCTTCCCCTCTGCCAGTCTCTCTCCCCAGGGTGTCACAGGACCATCTCCCATTATGCCTGGCCTACAATTCCACGGCTGACAGTGGGGGGCGCCCTCCCCTGTGACTGCCACAGGTGGTGATCCTGCCACAGCAAAGTCAGGCCCCAGACCTCCCACCCCAGCGATATCCATTCAGCCAGCCACCAAACACAGCCCCACCCTGCAACTGCACCCAACACTCTCCTACCTCCAGGCTGGTATCTCAAAGGGCAAACAAACTGATGCGGGCCAAAGACATAATACTATTCTTGGCTGGGAGAATGGGGACCAGGATGATCCCAAGTAGCCTCTCCTGGCTTAGTCCTCTGCCCTTGGCTACTATTCTTATAGGCAACCACAACCCAAGGTACCAGCAGAATAGTTGCAGCAAAAGCACTCTAAAACATGCTTTATTGTGGTGTTTCTGCACTCACATTTAGGAATGCCACTCCAATGGACCCCGCCCCCCTTCTATAGCCACTTGTATGCCTTAAGGACAGCATTTTGTAACTTCTGAGAAAATGGCAGGCCACTAATTAGAACAAAAACTTCTAATTATCAACACTCTGCAAAGTTAAGACAAATCAGGCTTTTGCTTACATTGTGTACTTTTACATTCAGCCAGATATATTGACGCTCTAGGAGCATTGGGGCCAACTTAAATCATGGTAACATTCTGATAAATGAAAGAGATAACCAGGCAACACAACCTTTATCCTTTCCACCCCAGAGGGAAACTCATAACCAAATTCAGATTGTGAAGAGAGCTGTAGGGGAGTTTTACATTAAAAGTGTTACTTCCAAGAACGAGCATCTGACTGATTTATTTAGCGTTAGGGATTTAATTAAGAACCTATGCACTCATATAAATAGTGACAGAATAGGTCGGAAGATAGATTCTAATTTTGTATTTCCCACACGATACAAAATGTCCTCAGGCGGTGTCAGGGATCAGACTGGGGAGTCCTACTTTGGTGAGGAGTGGTGGGAGCCCCCTCCCCCCGCACCGAACCAGGATCGTGGGGCTCTACAGGAGCAGGAGAGGAGGACTGACCTGGAATGATGGTTTGCTGAGGGGCACAGTTCGGAGGACGGGAGCTGGGCAGAACTGAGGCAGAACGGAAGAGGAGAGTTATGTTATGTACTGAAATTCTCACCCTGGGGAAGCAGGGGGATACTGTAGATAGTTCAGGTCCACATATGCAAATAAGGGATCAAAAGTGACATTCAGTGATTGGATAGTTACAGAAAATGGTTACTGTTGCGTTCTAGTGGAGCTCTATATAAGCAGGCTGGCTGAACCCTTCAGTTCAGTTCTGTTCTAGCCTGTGAATAAACAAGAGCTGTTGAAGAATCGCTGTGTCGTCTGATATGTTCACCCACATCTTAACACTGGTGACGAGGATGGGATGGATGGACAACAGAGCACAGCCAGATGCAGCCACCCTCTGAGCAGAGCTGAATCACTGAGCTGAAACACCGAGCGAAATCACTGAACAGAACCAATTCAGAGCTGACCGCTCTGGCTAGAGCACTGTGTTCCATCCATCGCCCTCTACGTCGGCATCGGAACCATGGCTTCACTTGTGCCTCTATTGCCGTTTGCCCCAGCCTCTGAATCATGGGACTCTGGCCTTGCTCAGTTCGACTGCTACCTCCAAGCCAACGAGCTGACAGAAGTGTCAGAGGAGAGTAAGCGGGGCCTATTCCTCAGCCTCTGTGGGCCCAAGGTGTTCGAGATGGCCCGAGCATTGGTTGCGCCTGTAGCAGTCCAGGCAACACCATGGGACACGATCCAAGAGAAGCTCCGCAACCACTACGCACCAAAGCCGTCCAAGATTGCTGCCCGCCATGCGTTCTACCACCGGAACCAGGCAGAGGGGGAGTCAATCAACAATTACACCACTGCCCTCCAACAAGCTGCAATGCACTGCAAGTTCCGAGACTTAGACGATGCCCTGATGGATCGAATCGTCTGCGGGGTCCGGGACATCCGTCTGCAACGGTGTCTCCTCACCAAGCCAGACCTCACGCTGCAGAAAGCCCCTGAGGAGGCCTCGTGTCTTGCGAGGAAGCCAATTCCAGTGTATCACAAAGAGGCCAGCAGTGACGAGGCATCCTCCAGTGAAGATGATGACGTTCACCAGACAAAGCGGGAGCGCATGAAGTTCCAACAGAAGTCCAAGGGCCAATTGGAATGTGCCAGCTGCGGAGGCAACCATTCCCATGCCAAGTGTCGACTCAGAGATGCCATCTGTCGGGCGTGTTCCAGAAGGGGCCACATCGCTAAGGTCTGCCGATCGACTCCGTCTGACAACCCCCTTCACCGACTTGCAAGTCCAAGTCTTCACTCCAGTCTGCCAAGGAAAGCTGTTTCGCTCTCACCAACTGCCGCTGCCCATCTGGAACCACGATTGGCCAAACCGACTCGCCTACGCGACGCAAGCTGAATGTCACGGTGCTCATTGAAGGAGCTCCATGTGACATGGAGATCGACACCGGGTCTGCCCTGTCCATCGTGTCTTGGAGCACCATCAAAAGACTGGTACCCAGAGTGTCCAAAAGGCAACTCGACTCTCACCGCGTACACCTGAGAGACAACCAGGGAAACGACATTCCCATGGTAGGCGTTGGCCGGTTCCGGATCGCCTTCAAGGATTTTTCGGGCCTGCTCCGACTGGTGGTGGTCGAAGGTCAGCGGCCAAGCCTCCTAGGGCTAGACTGGTTTTATGCCCTCGGCCTGGAAATCACCGGCATCAACTGCATCTCTAACGCAGAGACTGAAGGTCTGGTCAAAGACTTTGCCGAGGTTTTTGATGGCACTTTGGGGCAATATACAGGTACGCCCATCTCCTTTAGCCTTGATCCACAAGTTGCCCCCATCAAGCTAAAGCCACACCGGGTTCCCTTTACTCTCAAGGCTAAGGTGGACAAACAACTGGACAAGCTGATCGCCCAAGGAGTTTTGGAGCCGGTTGACCACGCCAAGTGGGAAACCCCCATCGTCATGCCTGTCAAGCTGGACGGGTCGGTGAGAATCTGCGCCGACTACAAGTGCACGATCAACAAGGCACTTCAGCAGCACACTTACCCGGTTCCTGTTGTCCAACACCTGCTGCATTCCCTGGGTGAGGGTATGATCTTCGCTAAGCTGGACCTTGCCCAAGCCTATCAACAACTGTCCATCGATGATGCCACCGCTGAAGCCCAGACGATCGTCACCCACCGAGGGGCATTCCGTTGCCGCCGCTTGCAGTTCAGGGTGAGTGTGGCTCCTGGCATCTTCCAAAGCTTTATGGAGCGTCTCCTGCAAGGGCTTCCAGGCGTGGTACCATATTTTGATGACGTCTTGGTGTCCGCAGACTCACACCAGCAGCTGTTTGAGCGCCTCCGCACCGTGCTGACCAGGTTCCAGGAAGCCGGGCTCAAGGTAAAGAGGGAGAAATGCCAGATCGCCGTTCCACAGGTGGAGGTCCTGGGCTATTTTATCGACACATCCGGCCTTCACCTGACCACATCCAAGATCCACGCTATCCAGCAGGCTCCCATCCCAAAAAACAAGACGGAGTTGCAGGCGTTCCTGGGACTGCTGAACTTTTATAACATGTTCCTGCCCCACAAAGCCACAGTGGCTGAGCCTCTTCACCGACTCGTCAGCACGAAGACGCCTTGGACCTGGGGTCATCGGAAGACGGCAGCCTTCAACGCGGTCAAGGCTCTCCTTTCATCAGACAGTGTGCTGGTACAGCACAGTGAAGCCAGGCTGCTGGTCCTTGCCTGCGACGCCTCACCTTTTGGCATCGGCACTGTCCTCAGTCACCATTTTCCAAATGGAAGAGAAGCACCGCTCGCCTACTTTTCCAGGACGCTATCTCCGACTGAACGGAATTACAGCCAGCTCGACAAGGAGGCACTGGCACTTATGGCTGGAGTGAAGAGGTTCCATGAATACCTCTACGGCAGGACTTTCGACATCATCACCGACCACAAGCCACTCCTGGGCCTCCTTGCCGGTGATCGACCAACTCCACCGGTCCTCTCACCGCGCATGCTGCGATGGACTGTTTTCCTGGCTGCCTACCACTACCGGCTCGTCCATCGCCTGGGGAAATCGATGGGCCATGCCGACACCCTCAGCCGTTGCCCTCTTCCAGCGTTTGTGGAAGACCCGGCTCCTGCTTCATCGCTCCTCCTGATTGAGGATCTTCTGGCAGCGCCTGTATTGGCTGCCACTGTGGCTTCCGCATCTGCCCAGGATCGCACCATCAGCCGTGTGCTCAACTGGGTGTGGAGGGGGTGGCCACAAGGGCCTTTTGCATCGGAGTTTCAGCCGTTCGCAACCAGACAACACGAACTCTCGGCTCATTGTGGCTGTCTGCTGTGGGGAGACCGCGTCGTGATTCCCCAAAGACTCCGTCAACGTGTCCTTGAGGCTCTGCATGTTGGCCACCTGGGATTGGTCAAAAGGAAGGCGTTACATCTGGTGGCCTAACATGGACGATGCCATCACTGCCTGGGTTTCCACCTGTCAAGCGTGCCAAGAATCAAGGCCTGCGCCACTAGCAGCTAAGGGACACACCTGGGAGACGCCCAAGACACCCTGGTCGAGGGTGCACATCGATCTGGCCGGCCCCTTTCGCGGTTGGACCTTTATGGTAGTGGTGGACGCCTATTCCAAATGGCTGGATATGGCCCTGATGCCCTCCACCACTACCTAGGCAGTCATCCGAGTGCTGCGAGGCCTTTTTGCAATGCATGGGTGTCCTGATGTCCACGTCTCCGACAACGGACCGCAGTTCACCTCAGGCACTTTTGAGCGATACCTTTTGGGACTGGGCATCCGCCATGCCCTAACGGCACCATTTCATCCATCCATCAACGGGCAAGCGGAGAGAATGGTGCGCTTAGCAAAAGAGGCACTGGCGCGTCTGGACCAGGGAGCTAGCACTGGCGCGTCTGGACCAGGGAGACTGACACGAGTGGGTCGCCGAATACTTGTTCGTGCAACACATCACCCCTCATGAGGCCACAGGGCGGAGTCCTGCTGAACTGCTTATGGGCCACCGCCTCAGATCTCCGCTCGACCGGCTGCACTCGGACTTTGCCGTGGCCGAATCCCCGGGCTGTGCCAACACGCCACGGTCCTTTGTTCCAGGAAACCAGGTCTTTGCCCGGAACTTTGTGGGGGACATTCCTTGGGTGCCAGCCACAGTAGTGGGAGTCACTGGACCTCGCTCGTACCAGGTGGCACTCGAAAACGGACGTTTGTGGCGCCTGCACATAGACCAGCTTAGGCGCAGGGTTGGGGACTTGGACACTACCACAGTGCCCCCAACTGCGCTCGTGGCTCCGGAACAGACACTTACAGATGGCGAGGCTCCACCTACGCCTCTCTTGCAGACTGCGGGCATGGAGCCGAACCAAGGCACTTCAGAGGGTCTGCCGGACTTCCCACAGACTCAGACCACTGCCGTGTCTGACATTCCGCCAACTCCACTTGTGGAGGTTCCACCCACAGCAGTGGATCCCGGGGACTTGGTTTCAACGCCACCTAGGGTTGCACCACAGCCTCAGCAAGAATTCGGTAACCTCCCAGACATGGGTACCGGTCCCCAGTGGTCCCACAGAGTTTCCAAGCGCCCAACTTATTTAAAGGACTATGTTGTTGGACATGTAACACTGTCGGTCTAATGGAAGTAGGTGAAATGTAACCGATATGCTTTTGTGCCTAATTGAACCATTACGTGTAGTGCTGTATATAAGGAAACCATTACGATTGTAACTAACGCCTTATCTCAGTGGGGAGGGGTGTTATGTACTGAAATTCTCACCCTGGGCCAGCAGGGGGATACTGTAGATAGTTCAGGTCCACATATGCAAATAAGGGATCGAAAGTGACGTTCAGTGATTGGATAGTTACAGAAAATGGTTACTGTTGCGTTGTAGTGGAGCTCTATATAAGCAGGCTGGCTGAACCCTTCAGTTCAGTTCTGTTCTAGCCTGTGAATAAACAAGAGCTGTTTGAAGAATCACTGTGTCATCTGATATGTTCACCCACAACTTAACAAAGCACAGCTTCAGGCAATACCAATGAGACGGAAACATGGAAGGTACCTAAAGAGGCCAGGGTGGCTATCTAAAGAACTTTTAACTGAGTTAAGATTAAAAAAGGATGTGTACAAAAAATGGAAAAGGGGGGAAACCACCAAAGAGGAATTCAAACAAATAGCCAGCACGTGTAGACACAAAGTCAGAAAAGCTAAAGCACAGAATGAACTCAGGCTTGCTAGAGAGGTTAAGAGCAACAAAAAAGGCTTTTATGGGTATGTTCGTAGCAAAAGGAAGAACAAAGAAACAGTGGGGTCACTCAGAGGAGAAGATGGTGAAATGCAAACAGGGGACACAGAAAGGGCTGAACTCCTCAATGCCTTCTTTGCCTCAGTCTTCTCCGATAAAGAAAACAATGCCCAACCTGAAAAATTTGGAGCAAATGATTCAGCAGAGGAAACACAGCCCAGAATAACTAAGGAGATAGTTCAAGAATACTTGGCTAGTCTAGATGTAGTCAAGTCTCCAGGGCCAGATGAACTGCATCCAAGAGTATTAAAAGAACTGGCAGATGTGATCTCAGAACCACTGGCAGTCATCTTTGAGAATTCCTGGAGAACAGACGAAGTTCCGGCAGACTGGAGGAGGGCAAATGTTGTCCCTATTTTCAAAAAGGGGAAAAGAGAGGACCCAAATAATTACTGCCCAGTCAGTCTGACATCAATACCAGGGAAGATTCTGGAGCAGATCATTAAGCAAACAGTCTGTGAGCACCTAGAAAGGAATGCTGTGATCACCAATAGTCAGCATGGATTTCTGAAAAATAAGTCATGTCAGACTAACCTGATATCGTTATATGACAGATTTACAAGCCTGGTAGATGAAGGGAACGCAGTGGATGTAGCCTACCTTGATTTCATCAAGGCATTTGACAAGGTGCCCCATGATATTCTTGTAAAGAAGCTGGTAAAATGCGGTCTTGACTATGCTACCACTCAGTGGATTTGTAACTGGCTGACTGACCGAACCCAAAGGGTGCTCATCAATGGTTCCTCTTCATCCTGGAGAAGAGTGACTAGTGGGGTGCCACAGGGTTCTGTCTTGGGCCCGGTCTTATTCAACATCTTTATCAACGACTTGGATGATGGACTCAAGGGCATCCTGATCAAATTTGCAGATGACACCAAACTGGGAGGGGTGGCTAACACCCCAGAGGACAGGATCACACTTCAAAATGACCTTGACAGATTAGAGAACTGGGCCAAAACAAACAAGATGAATTTTAACAGGGAGAAATGTAAAGTATTGCACTTGGGCAAAAAAAAATATGAGAGGCACAAATACAAGATGGGTGACACGTGGCTTGAGAGCAGTACATGTGAAAAGCATCTAGGAGTCTTGGTTGACCACAAACTTGACATGAGCCAACAGTGTGACGCGGCAGCTAAAAAAGCCAATGCAATTCTGGGCTGCATCAATAGGAGTATAGCATCTAGATCAAGGGAAGTAATAGTGCCACTGTATTCTGCTCTGGTCAGACCTCACCTGGAGTACTGTGTCCAGTTCTGGGCACCACAGTTCAAGAAGGACACTGACAAGCTGGAACGTGTCCAGAGGAGGGCAACCAAAATGGTCAAAGGCCTGGAAACGATGCCTTATGAGGAACGACTAAGGGAGCTGGGCATGTTTAGCCTGGAGAAGAGGAGGTTAAGGGGTGATATGATAGCCATGTTCCAATATATAAAAGGATGTCACATAGAGGAGGGAGAAAGGTTGTTTTCTGCTGCTCCAGAGAAGCGGACACGGAGCAATGGATCCAAACTACAAGAAAGAAGATTCCACCTAAACATTAGGAAGAACTTCCTGACAGTAAGAGCTGTTCGACAGTGGAATTTGCTGCCAAGGAGTGTGGTGGAGTCTCCTTCTTTGGAGGTCTTTAAGCAGAGGCTTGACAACCATATGTCAGGAGTGCTCTGATGGTGTTTCCTGCTTGGCAGGGGGTTGGACTCGATGGCCCTTGTGGTCTCTTCCAACTCTATGATTCTAACCAAATCTCCCACACTGGAAGGTATACAGCCTCTTAGTCCCAGGGCTAGGAGACTGGATAAGGTAACTTCACAGAAGGCTAATTGGTTGAGATTGGGTAAATAAGAGACCGGGGGTGGGGGGTGGAAGCGGGAGGAACTTATTTGGGAGCACCTGCACTGTGAAAATGGACGTTTGTTTTTTTGCTGCATTCATTAAACGTTTCTGATGCTGGCAAGAGACTGCTTTATCTTGCATTGCTTATCTACGGTCCAAGTGAGAAGGAAGCTGGCCCAAAGCCTGACAGGCATCAGGATTCACAGGGGTAGCAGATCCAGATGTTGATCTTTCTTCCTGCCTTGTTCTGAAGGTAGATCTTCCCTCCCATCTTCTTCCCTGGCAGGGAGTGGGGACACCATTTTGGAGTCTGCCCCAGGTGCCAAAATGCTTTGGGCCAGCCTTGCACACAGCAGCCCCAGGTGGCAGCATCACCCCATTGGCAATTTCTTTTAGTGAAGTACTGTATCACTCACACATAATCCCAGAATATGTTGACGGAGCTTTAGCATTCACATGGCAAGTTACTCATCAATGACAAAACTAAGGTAATGGTATTTAAGCATATGCCTGTATTGCAAAGCTGATTTGAACAGATAGAAAAAGCTCAAGGGAAGATGTCCTGCTGGTGAAGAGTCTAAAAGGCAGTGTGCTGGAGAGTAGACAAAGATCTGCAAGATCTTACCCCCTCTTGTTCTCCCAAAATGTCTGCCAAAGGAGCCCCCAAGTATGCCATCTTTGGAGCTGGCCACAATTTACCCTTACTGGCAGGTGGGCAAATGTTTTCCCCAGCCTTATGAGGAACGGTTGAAGGAGCTGGATATGTTTAGCTTGGAAAAGAGGAGACTGAGAGGAGATACGATAGCCAATTTCAAATATCTTAAGGGCTGTCACATGAAAGATGGAACAAGGTTGTTTTCTCTTGCTTGAACCAATGGCTTCAAGTTACAAGAAAGGAGATTCCAACTAAACATCAGGAAGAACTTTCTGACAGTAAGAGCTGTTGGACAGTGGAGTGGACTCCCTTGGGAAGAGGTGGGCTCTCCTTTCTTGGAGGTTTTAAGCAAAATCTGTAATGGATGCTCTAGTTGAGATTCCTGCATTGCAGCAGATTGGACTAGATGACCCTTGGGGTCCCTTCCAACTCTACAATTGTATGATCATGTAGCAGGAATAATTAGGAACAGCTGAACTGTTTGGCATTTATTTAAAATGTCATCCAAAGGAGAAAATCTTAGTGTTTTATGCTCAAAGCAGCTTTAAGGGAAAATAGTGCTTTGACAACTTCTGTGCAAAACTATCACTGGAGAATAAATTCAGCACACAGGATTTCCCCCTATACTGTGGTCGGGGAAGTCGGAATACCATAGCAGAACAACTGGAGCATGCAGATGAGCCCCAAGCCATGCCTTGTAAGATAATGAAGAGGAGAAAGTAAAAAAAGCTGGGGGAGGGGGGAGACTTCACCTCGCTCACTGGCAGGTATCTGTGGGCTCCAGTTCACTATGCTCTGAAGGGGCATTAACCAATCAGCTCCATTTGTGATCCTGCAGTTATCCACAGAGGCAATAATAATAATAACTAAAACAAGTAATTTTAAGCACAGTAAAAAGGATGACAAATAATTATGTACATCACTTTACCAAGGAAGTTTACAATCCAGAAGAGCTCAGAGAGCAGACCCAGCTCCACTACTGGAAAAGTTCCCATTTATATTACACGACAAATGGAACAATGATGTCTCTTGGCACCACGAAGGAAGGGCAAAGGCCCTCACCGGTTTCAGCCAAGGTGTGAAATAGCCCCAGCCGCTTCCTTCTCACCTGCAGGCACCTTGTCCTACTCAGCACACATCCCTTGCCCCACATAGCCCTGTCCGCAGCTGCTGCTCTTCTCTCCAGAGCTGCCATGGGGTGTGCGAAGGAAGTGCCAGCGGAAAGACGGGGCAACATCCCCGGATGCCCATTTCTTTCCAAGTGTACAGTGCTGGTATTGTTTTGTATGCTTGAACCGCAGAAAGGAAGACATGAGAGGTGAAATGTATCTAAATAACAGATTAAACATTTTAATAGGCTAATGCCATTTGGTTTTAAGAATATACAGTAAAGGATATTTTCTAACAGTCCCCAGTAGAGCTGTGTTTTTCAAGCTATTACTTTATTATTATTGATTGTTGTAATCAACTATCCCCTCAAAAGAGAACTTTCTCTCCACTTAAAATCTTGTCGTATAGAATTTTTTGTTACATTTAGATTAGGAAAACATGCATCTATATTCCTCGTATACAAAAATGAAGGGGCATAAATATATAGCACCACCCTATAGACATCTATGTCTATGGGGAAAGATTTCCAGTTTTGCAGCTAGGTGTATAAATTTGGATTTTTAAAGAAACCCACAAACAAGAATCCCACGTGACATTGGATTGTCTTTTCCCTTCTGAAAACAAACTGTATGGAGGGCTGGAAATAAGTGAAATGAAAAGAACTCTCACTAGGGATTCTGAAACACCCCCCCCCCCCAAAAAGTTGCACTCAACTTTCTATAGCTTCCAAATGAGAAGATTATGGCAGTTAAAAAGGGCAGAACAAAAGAGAACCATAATAGCCATCACCTCAATACAAATAATGAATATCAGTGGTAGCAATATGGTTGAATTATTTCCATATTGCAGCGTGGACTCTTTAAAGCATGGAAATATTTTGTTCTATGTTACATCTAGCTGAATTACATCTAAGGGGTCTGAATGTTTATGGAGGGAAAATCACATAACATATTAACAGCATATAATTTTATTGTGGAGTTTCAATAGCATGCATAATTTTACAGCACCTGTGAACAAATCAGTGAAGCATAACTACTTGAAATAACTTGCATTCTTTGGAATGTCTGCATACGTTCCCTATTTCCCATTATACAATATTAATTTAAGACATATCAGTGAGACCTCTATTGCTAAAAATACTCATAGCAGCATCTTTTAGAAGATTTTTATTATTATTATTATTATGAAATCAAGTCATTGCACTTCATCATTTATTGCTGCACCAAAAACGCCATTTAATAATTAACACGTCCGATTTCATTGATTGTCAGGTCCTATCCATCTGCTATGAGCTTCAAGGCAGACAAAACTGTCATACAACAACTGATAATTAATACCATTTTGCCTTACACTCTGAATTTTATGTGAAGACCACATAAAAGAACTTTTTTCCAGTAGACTCACTTCTTGTTCTGCACAAGAATAAAACTTCAACAAGCTGGGATCAGAGAGGAGCTATTTCATTGACCATTTATCTGAGAGAGCACAGACTAGTATTTGTGATGCAGCTGAACTCCCGCCAGGTTGTAAGGACTAGAGGCAAGGGCTCCTCGCCCAGGGCCATGCAAAATGGGTTGGGGGCCCAAACCAGACAGGACAAATGTAGGCCCCATTTCTACACCTATCTATTTTTATCTGCATTAATCTCTTCTGAATCTTTTTAAAATATTAATATTTTGTGCCCTTGACTTTCTTTACAATACCAATTATCTTTACCCAAGGGTCCTCCTTTGCCTCTGCCAGTGGGGCTCAGAGGGCATCCCTTCAAAATCAGAGGCCCAGACCAACTGGCCCCTCTTTTGTTCTGGCTGGCCCTCACCCCAAGTCCGGCAGGCATCTGTGCTTCCACCAAAAGTTCTGTTTGTGGGGAAATACTTCTCCAAGAAAGAACATAAGGATAAGGTGTTTTGCCTCCTACAAATTGGGCTTCTGTTGTTTCTTTTTTCCCTTTTTATTTTTTTAAAAACCTTTTAGCACCTCATGGTAGTTTTCTGCAAAAACCCAACAGAAATGGAGAGAAACTGTTCCTCTTTTCTTTTCCACAGAGGGTATTTTTTTTTGAGAGGCAGTAAAGAAATGCTACTCCTAAAAATTCTTGAAAAGCCTTTTTTATGGCAAAGGAAAGCAGCTGCTGTTTGACAGGAGATAGTAGGAGAGTGTGGCTGGTGTTTCTAAAAAAGCCCAACTTGCAGTGCAAACAAAATCACCTCCCTTTTCCTTCATGGAGAATAGAGAAGAAAGGAGTGGCAGTTTCAGTCCTGCAAACTGTGCTTTTGTAGAAAGCTCCAGGAGCAAAGTACTCCTTTAAAAATCCCAATGGAAAGGAAAGAAATGGCCCCTTCTTTTTTACATGAACTAGGGCGGTGGAAGAGATGGCTTCTTGCTCCCCCTTTGGGCTTTTCAAGGCTGCAGCAAAAGCACAACTTGTAGGACGGCAGTCACCTGTCTCCTCCGCTTTTCCTTGAGCTTCTGCAGCAGCAACGGCAGGAAGGTGCCGTTTGAACCTTCTGCAGAAAGTCCAACTCTGGGGCAGATACCCTCCTCCCCACGTCCTCTGCACATGCCAGGAGACTCAGTGGGAGGAGGAATCAATGGCAACACAAGTCACAGGTCTGGCTAGTAAGACAAGACAAAAGTTGTTGACCAACAAAAATTATGAATTAGTATCAGATTAGGTTTCCTAGATCTGCCTTTCTTAACCATGGGTCCCCAGATGTTGTTGGACTACAACTGCCATCATCCATAGCCAGCAGCAGTCAGGGATGATGTGAGTCCGGCAATATTTAGGAACTCAAGGTTAAGAAAGGCTGCACTAGACTGATGGTTTGACTAGTAAGTTAGCAAGTGTGAAAATTGGCAACAAAAAAAACCATTAGCAACTGATTCATTAGATGTTTGTCATTAGTTAAGCACCAATATGGTAACCAAACAGGCATTTTGTTTTTAAACACCCGTTTCCGTTCCTACATTTTAATCCACTAATTCACAAGTGATAAACCTGCAAGTAGAAATTCAGATTTCTGCACTTGCTAACAATTAATAATTGTTGGTATTCTTATACAACTATGACAAAATACTTATGCCATCCAAGTTTTGTTTAATTAAAGGAGAGCAGATAAACATGAAAACTACTGACACGGGAAAAGTTAAGATTTCACATTATTTTAATTTGGTTAACTAAAAACCACTCTGGAAATATTGCCTTTTTATACTCTTTTAGAAAAGAAATGAAGGAGAAGCAAGAGACAGAATGGGTTTTGTATTTTTAGCATTGGCTTGAATGCAACGTGGAGCCTTTTTAGTTTTCCTCCTTTGTAGGAAAAAATGGGGAGGGGCAAAATGACTCCAAAAAGAAGTCTTTTCTTCCAAACAAAATCAATTCCTTTCATTTAGGAGCACATTGCAGTACTATGATGTACACAAGAATCCAGTCTCCATGAATCCTCTTGTGCCTTAGTGTAGGTAGCAGCAGCCCCGGCAAGACTGCATGTCGTCAACAGGTGGGTAGCTCTAAACACTTCACTGTCACATGAAGATTTTAATAATGCTATTATGATTAGTGCTAAAAATCTGTATGAAGCTGTAAGATACTGTAGTGTTAGAATAAAATTTATGAAAGTGAAGAATTGCTTAGCATGCCATGTGCTGCAATATTTAGGCACAACAGGGTGAATTACAAGACCATTTCAACCTTATGCCCACATTCCCTGTGGAAATCAAGCATTGACCTGGGTGTGGGGGTTTGTGTGGGGTCCAACCCCAAGTCCCTTTCATGACTCCTATAGTGCAAGTGACAGAATATTCTTCTCAAACTATTAAGCAGTTGTGACTTTTCTGCTCCATAGCAAGAACAAACTCCCAGCATCATCCTGAACTATAAAACAGCATATTATTAATACTCTCACTGCAGACAGGCACAACAGTGTAACCCTGGGTAGAAATGCAAAAAAAATAATTAAAAAAATACAAACATCATATTCCCTTTAGCACTGTGGGGAAAGTAGTGGCTATAATAAGTACAAGGGTGGACCAGGTGCCTCCCTAGAGGCTCCTTTACAGAGTTTCTTTGCAAAGATATACTGCCTTATATATATAGTACAGATCTCTTAAAAATTAGACTATAGATGCTCAATAAAAATCTAATAAGAACCCCTCTTTTTATACAGATTCAGTAGTATTTTCAAGCAAACCAAGGAAATAAAGGTCTGCGATTCCAGCACAGTAAGAAATAAGGCCCCTCCTATATTGGTAAGAAACAAAAAAGCGGTTCATTTTCTTCTCTTAGCTCACTAAATAGAAGATTATATTCATTTATCCTTTTTTTATGGAATGCTGCCCATTCATTGGTTTGAAGTAAAAAAAGAAAAGTCAAGTTAGCTTCATTTGTATTTTGACTCTGAAATCCTGGCAAGGTCTATGGCTCTTTCATGTCGTTATGACAGCTTTCTTCAGCTTCTCTATTTCCACCTGTGGATGAGACACATTAAAACTTTTAATACAGAAATGAATAACTTTGTCTCTATTTTCCAGTAATGCTTAAATATGTGCTACAACATCTTTGGTAGGAAAGCTGATCACCAGAGCTGGGATGGGGGAGCCTGTGCCCCCTCCCCAGATGTGGTCAAACTCCCATCTGCCCCAGGCAGCCTGGCCATCCGTCAGGGAGGAGGGGAGTTGCAGGCCAACAACATCAGGGGCCCACAAGTTCTGTATCTTCTATTGTAGGGCTAGGGAAAAGCTTAAGAATTTCAATTGTATTCATTGAGCCATCCAGCCATTGAAACATCTTTGTGAAATTAATGTGGATCTAACCTGAGTTAGGTTTTGTACCATAAAACACTCCAGCAGATAAACATATTTGCTCACAACTGAATGCGTTGAATACAAATGTGTATTGAAACTGTGGTTTAAAAAATAATAATTCTAAAGCTTTTCACTAGCACAAATGATAATAATTTCATGTTACTCATTATCTGCTTCTAGACTAATTGCAACTGAGGCTACTTAAGCTTAAGGTGTGATTCATAAAGAAACATGGCAGAAGCATGGGCTCATCCCCTCAATATTTTGGCATCTAGCATTGTTGGTAGAGCATGAGACTCAATCGCGGGATCGTGGGTTCAAGCCCCCACTTTAGGCAAGATTCCTGCCTTGCAGGAGGTACTAGATGAGCCTCATGGCCCCTTCCAACTCTACAATTCTATGAAAAAACTGTTCCTTAATACAAACCTACATCAAAGTGATACAGTATAAAATTATGATTAATTTAGTCATGAAGAGCTGCTAAATAATCTTAAATGAGGTATATACCGTATTTTTCGCTCTATAAGACGCACCAGACCACAAGACGCACCTAGTTTTTGGAGGAGGAAAACAAGAAAAAAAATATTCTGAATCTCAGAAGCCAGAACAGCAAGAGGGATTGCTGCGCAGTGAAAGCAGCGATCCCTCTTGCTGTTCTGGCTTCTGGGATAGCTGTGCAGCCTGCATTCGCTCCATAAGACGCACACACATTTATCTTAACTTTTTAGGAGGGAAAAAGTGAGTTTTATAGAGCAAAAAAATACGGTATATACCCAGTTTTCTAAAAAAGGTTTTAGCCATTTTGAATGCCCCCCTTCCTGCTCTCAAAACAACACTCGTGGAAATGGCAACACCTGGATTTCAACCTAAGGACTGGGAGATATCTCAGGAAAAACAATGCTCCAGTATTGTTCCCCCAAGTTTCCTATCCAGTCTAGTGTCTCTACTTTGTATTTGGGGGAATTCTTCTTCCCGTCAGCAAAACAATAAAGTCAATGTGTGAAGCATTTTTTAGTGGCAGAGTTGAATTTAGGACAGAGCGAGCCATGCAGTCACACTGGGCATGCAGCCGAGGAGGGCACCTGCTCAAGGCCCAGTAAGTGCTTGCCTGTCTTTGGGAAGGAGGTGTGAGGACTCTGAGAGGGTCCTAGAGTCCTCTTGCTTCGTTCCTCAAGTTGAGCAAGTATTTACCTGTCTTTGGGAAGGAGGTAAATGGCTCTAGGACTCTGCCAGAGCCCCACACCTCCTTCCCAAAGCCTGGCTCTGCAAGGGCAGGGGGGAGCGCATCAAATGACCTTGCACAGGGCAGCATATTGCCACGGTCCACCCCCTCCCACCCCAATAGGGGCTGCTTTATTAAACAATAGCCCCTCATTCAACTTCTAAAAATAATGGAATTATGAAAAACAAAGCCTCCTACTGCTTCAAATAACTTATTCAAACACATTACCTCTAGGAAACTTCGCATCTGCTTCTCTTTCTCCAACTCCCTTTTCAGTTTTTCCAGTTCCTTCCTTTAAAAGTTAAAGGCAAACCTAGTTAAATTTTGCCATGTGAAATTTTACTTTTTTTGTGGTTGAAGAAACATGATAGTATATAAACTATGTCCAGACTCAAAGCAGAAAGAATGGCCACAGAGGAAAGTTGCGCAAGTGCTTTGCCTCCAGAATTACAGTGTGGATCTAAATCAGCAAGAACATCGGCTGGTTTAAATCCATCTCATTCATATTGCTTTATATAGTTCCTAAACAATCGTGCAAAATCTGACCACTAAACTATGTTCATTTGCAACTAGAGAGCATTATTGACACTCATTTCATTTTTCATAACTGGGCCTTGCACCATAAACATTTCGACTGCTCCCTCCCCTTTTTTTTACCATTAGAGGGAATGTCTTTAAAATATTACCCTACAGGGTTTCTCATACAAGTAGCACCCATGACAGTTTGTTAGTCAAAAACAATCCTATATATGTTTACTCAGAAGTAAGTCCTGATGAGTTCAAGGGAGCTTCCTCCCAGGTAAGAGGGTAAGGGATTGCAGCCAAAGTGTGGGAATACAGGAGCTGGCACACTGGAGAATGGCTTGTCTTCTTTCTGAGGCTGCCCCTTCCTGCTTTCCTCTGTCTTGGCTCAGACCCACCCTCAGAAAAACAAAGAAAGAACTGCCACCACCAACCAATGAAACAAGAAACAAGGAAAACAACCCATGACTGATGGTTCAAAGGAAGGGCTGAAAGGTATAGAGCAGGCTACAGCACGGTAGAATCACATCACATGCAGGAGTTTTGTTCCAGAGGCAGTGCAAAAATGCTTAACGCCAAACTTCTTGGCTGCTGGCTGGCAAGCAGGGGGCAGCCCTGTGTGAATGTCCTACCTGTTTCTCCACTGCCTTCCCTCAGTTCTCCACAACTGCTTTCCCTGCTCCCTGGGTTGTTGAGGCAAGGAGGAGAGAGTGCCAATAGGCAACCTGGCTCCCTTGGAGAGACACTGAGACAGAAGGGAAGCAAACCCTGAGAAACGCAGGCAGAAGAACAGGGCAGAAACAGGTCTGCAATGGAGCTGCACCTTCGGCCTGCATCCCTGTCTTCCTGCCACTCCTCTGCTGCAGGAAGCAGTCACCCCACCACTGCTTCTCTGCTGGCTGTCCCAGCCATGGGAGCCAAGTTCCTGCTCCAGACTCTGTCCTCCTCACTGTGACACCCCAGAGGGGAGGGGAGGGTGCAGAGTGGCACCCGGCTTCCTCGGCTGAAACAGTGGGAAGCAGCAAGACAAAAAGGGAGCTGGAGAAGACCCAGGCAGAAGCTGCACTTCCATTCCAGGCTTTTACTTCTGCCTGGAGATCAGCTCGAGCCCAGGAAGTTAAGACTGAATTTGAACAAGTTCAATGCATGTGCGATGTGACTCCACTGTAGTATAGTTTCCTCAAGTCTCAGGGTATCATCTGAAGGCACATGAGACCCACACCTTAAAGCTAAGGACACCTGGGTCTGCTCAGCGTCTCGATGGAGAACCTTAGAAAAGGCCTGCTCCCTTGCAATCCATAAGGGAGCAAAGGTGGAACATTGGGAAGTATTTAAATGGAATGAACAAATAAATGAATAAAATGCTGGCTAGATAAAAGCTGAAGCCTAGCAGGCTAGTGCTTAAATCTTGGGTGGTCATATCCACACACACATTCCAATTTGTCCATTTTATTAAAAAAATGCAAGATAGATTCTTTTTTAAAACAAACAAACAAACAAACAAGACCTTACTGCCCCTGCTGATCCCCACTTGATGCCAACCCACTCCCCACCCTGCCCTTTAAACATCATATAATATTAATACAGGAGGCTATGCTAAAATCCTTGCACAAAAGAGCCATGACATAAATCTGCTGTATCTTTCATCTACAAATCCAGTGAAATTAGCACTTAGAATCATAGAATCATAGAGTTGGAAGAGACCACAAGGGCCATCGAGTCCAACCCCCTGCCAAGCAGGAAACACCATCAGAGCACTCCTGACATATGGTTGTCAAGCCTCTGCTTAAAGACCTCCAAAGAAGGAGACTCCACCACACTCCTTGGCAGCAAATTCCACTGTCAAACAGCTCTTACTGTCAGGAAGTTCTTCCTAATGTTTAGGTGGAATCTTCTTTCTTGTAGTTTGGATCCATTGCTCCATGTCCGCTTCTCTGGAGCAGCAGAAAACAACTTTTCTCCCTCCTCTATGTGACATCCTTTTATATATTTGAACATGGCTATCATATCACCCCTTAACCTCCTCAACTTAACTTACCCATGTTCTTTCTTTAGTGTTTCTACGACAGCTAGCAGGTCAAAAACCTGTGACCTGAGGTCTTCCAGAGAAGGCTTCTCCCTTTCATCTATTTCCTGTTTAAGTTTCATTTCCCCAGTAACAGCACCGAGTACAAAAGAATTTGGTCTGGGTGATGAAGACAGAAGTGGCTGAGCAAATAGAGATGGCTGAAATAAGAAGGAAGTCATCTAATAAGTAAATGTACACTATGCAAATAATGCAAGCTGTCAAAATTGTATATTGAAGGACAAGCAAAGTCTGCTTAATTGCTGCTGACCCCCACCCCTGCAAAGAAGTGAAGCTTGAAATACTTCCAGTGACCCCTGGGAAGACAGCTGCCGGGGGCAGGGGAGGCTCTCCTGCGGCCCTTAGAAGCTGAGGGACTCCCTCCCATCAGCCACTGACAGCCTGCACAACAACCAAGGGGGGTGGAAGTGGAAGTGCAGCAACATCTGGAGGGCCACAGGCTCACTCCTGCCACTCGAAAGTGGCTTAAAAAGCTGTTTCTTGTATTTCCCACACAGTGGAAAGCCAGGCTTATTTCAGTGTTTCTTAAAACTCTGTCCATCTGACAAAGAGCATCTCCACAGAAGCAACGTATCAGTTATGACCCTCATAACCTTTCCCAAGCAATCTTCTAAGCAAGTTTTAAAAATGGATGTTGCTAACAAAGTTAGTGCTAATACTCTGAGGAAATTTTACTTAGAACAGCAGAGAATACATTCAGCTAAAGTGACTTTTTCTATGAGCCACTCAAAATAAATGTATACCCCTTTTCTGTATAGAATCATATTACATGAGTGGATACAACAAAATTATGACCTGCTATTATTAGATTTCTTATTACAACTAACTGAAGCCATCTCAATTCTGTACCTTTTTAACTTCGGGTGGCTTTACTTTGGCACTTTCTTCCTCCTCTTTATGCTCCTTCCCACTTTTCTCTATGCTTAAATTCTGAGTAGTCTAGAGGAAAAAAGAAAAGGGAAAAATCTGCATTCTGTGTGAAGCAAACCCACCTATTTTAAAAGCTAAAAGCACACATTTCCATCTATTACTCCTATTTGTAATATGCATCTAGTACATTCATTCATACATACATTAGACTTGTAAGTGAAAGAATTATGAAACCTGACATTTCTATGTATTATTATTATTACCTATTATTGATTAAATTTATGGTATACCCCCCAATACACAGAAGATAGACAGAAGACACACAGTTCCCTGTACTCACAGAATTACTGCCGTTGAAGCGAGTGGGAAGCCTCCTGCCAGGCATCTTTGGCCGATTAGCAGTGGGATGTGATAAATTATCTGAGGTAGCTATTATATGATCAAAACTTGAAATTTCTGGAAAAGATTTGAAAACAGAGGTCACAATTAAAGCTCAGAAAACAATCTTAGAGGAGAAGTATAAAATGTTGTCAAAATATATGACAAAAACCATCAACACAATATGACAGCTGGGACAGCTCGGTCGGTAGAGCTGGAGACTCTGAAGCTCCACGACGGGCATTGCAGGCGAGTGGACCAGATGACCCTCGTGGTCCCTTCCAACTCTACCCTTCTATGAATCTATGCTTCTACCAATATCAGTGCAGAAACTAAAGATTAGAGTGGCAATTAATATGCTAAAAGAGGACTCCATATTAAAAATAAAGGTGACAATGAAAATTGGGAGCAAGACACAAAACTCAACTGACTCTGTAACTTTCTGATCTCTTTCTCAGAATAAGATTGCAATTAAACATTTAGAAAACCATATACAGCTACAAGTGTTAAGTAAATGATTCTATGCGATTAAACAGCTATTCAGCCACTCAAGTCTCAACTTACTGTATCTGTAAAGCAGCAACCTGAGTAACAAAAGGATGCATGAATGTATGTATATGAGCAGGGTTGCCAAGTTGTGAAAACTAAGCGCCTTGAGGAGTTCATTTGTGTAAAGCAGGGGTCAGCAAAGTTTTTGTGGCTTGGGCCTGTTCACGGTCCTGCAGACGTTGCGGTGGGCCGGAGTGTGTATGCGCGCATGCGCAAATGCTATTTCCGGTGCTCCTTCCGGCGCGGAGGAGGCGTCCGCAGCTTCCCATTGGCTGCAGCCAATGCAAAGCCAGCCAGCATCGTGGAAGGCAGTCCCCGCTCTGCTCCGCACTGGTTTAGCCAACTGAGCGGGCGGCAGGGGTCCCCAAGCGGCAGTAAGGGTCCATGTGGCCCATGGGCCTTAGGTTGCCGACCCCAGGTGTAAAGTCTATGTGTTAACCTGCTGCAGTAAAAGCAAGCATCGTACTATGCCACAGACTAACCCACGCATTTATGTCATTAGCTTTCCTGAACAGAAGATTTGTCCAGTTATGCTTCTTCCTTTCTTTTTAAAGCTTACCTGCTTCTTTTAAGTTCTTTATTGCAACTGAATCTACCTCTACTGATTTTGGTCTCAGTGGTAACTGTTCAGAATCTAACTTTGGTTTTGTTGCTGGTTCAATTTCCGATTTTGGTCGCCAGGAAACAACATCCCCATTTGTCCTGTGTTTGAAAGAGAAAATGATTTAACATTAGGTATTACAGCAAAATAGGGAAACAAAAACCCGCCAGCATAATTTTGACAATTTAAGGCTTATTTTTTGATACACATGTTCATAAAAATAGGCTCATGAATCTAGTTCTCCAAATCTTGGTTTGGAGGCTCAGGAGTGGATCTGGTCCCACCTGCTTCAGTCTCTCCTCTTGCGCATGGATTCTTCCCTTTCATCATCCTTCTAAAATATTCTCTCAAGGAGAATTACACACAGAATAATTTAAAACAGGTAAAACAACAACAACTACTACTACATTTAAAGCAAGACTGAAACCCTAACAAATGGATACTTGTGGTAAAGACCCATTTACCCAGCAGGGAAAAGCCTTTGGGACAAAAACATCTTCAAGTGCTTCTGGAAAGAGCAGCTGGCAGTTGCTTGTCATATCTTGACAGAAATGCTGTTCCACAGAACAGGGGCAACCACACTGTAAACCTGCTGAGTTACTGCAGAGGGGGCTTTGGAGAGCTTAGAGCTTGCAGGAGGAGCTCTCCTACAGACTGAAGCGACCTACTGGGTAGATAAGGAGTAAGGCAGTGTCTTCAGTAACTGCTGGTTATGACAGCCACCTCCAGGATCAGAGGCTCCCGTCTCCAAATACTGGCCACTGGAGAACAGTGGAAGAGGGCGTTGCCCTCCTGTTCTACCTGTGGGCTTCCTGTAGGCATCTGGTTGGGGTTGGACTAGATGATCCTTGGGGTCCCTTCCAACCCTACAATTCTGTGGCTTTCACATGTAAGGAAAGGGCATACTTACTTAGATATTGGTGGTTGCACAACTGGTTTATCTGGCCATTTTAAAGGCGAAATCCCAGATCTCAACGCATTATTTGCCTTGTTTGGCGGGATAGGCTTTTTGGGTGGTACTTGAGGAGCTGCTGGTTTAGATATTTTCTGATCCAAACTTGATTTTTCATCTGGCAAATAAAACAGAAATATCCGTCAGTAGTATTTGGGTGACTGGAAGAAAACGACCTTCTACAACTACCATTAGCTATTTCATAAGCTGACATCATACAAACAATGCAGTTACAATTTATTAGGAGCTTCTCCCAGATATAGGGTGTTCTGAGCAGAGGGCCACAAAATGTGTAGCCCTGCTAGGAAGAATTCTGAACAAGGCTGGCTGTGAAAGAAGTAGAGAAAGCCAAAACTGGATTAAGGCCTAAAGCAACAAACTACTCCCTTCTAGTCGGTATTCTCAGATCCAGAAAATCGCATGGGGACTGAAGCTGGTCTCCAGAAAGTCAAGAACTGAAAAAAGTTACACTTCTCAAACATCAACATTCATGAAGATTATTAAGTTCTCTAAATCAGTAGGTGGGTCAACAAGAGCCCTAGGAAAGGAAGAGCCATCATTTCTAATGGACTCCTTGACTTTTAATCAAAAGATAAAGATGTGTACTGTAAGAATTTCAGAACGATCAGAACAATGAGGAAACTCAAATATATATAAATAGTATCTATATAATACTTAATATAAATGATCAAGAACTTTTTTTAAAAAAAACAACCCACTCATACAAAATATCCAACAAGGAATACTATGAACCACCAACTACAGGTACCCAGTAAAAAGTCAGTTTCAGCTATGAGTCTCTCTCAAGTTTATACAACTGATTGATGGCTTCTAACTTCTTAGGAAATGCTCTTTATCACTTTTCAGCTGGAATCAACAGCCATAGTCCTTCCAAAATGGTTGTGTAATATGTACAATTCTTCAAACTTACTGCATCGCTCTTTATACTAAACGGTTTCCTAAAAATGTAATTCTCTCCATAATAATACGCTACATAATATTAGAATTAGAAATACTAAAACAAGTTTCTTTTTTTAAAAAAAATAATCTTTATTGCTTTTAAAACTTACAAGAAAAGAAGAAAGAAGAAAATAGGCGAAAGAAAAAGACAAAATAGAGCACAGCAGAAAAAAAAGAGAAAGAAAAGAAAAAACAATACAATACAATAAACAATACAAAACACAACCTTAACACACTAAACTAAACAAAGCAAAAGAACAACAATTTAAAAACATATATCATACCATTTCATTACTCTATCTTTCATTCCCTTATTTCATCGACCTCCTCTCACCTCCCTTTTTGTATTCCACTTCTATTACTTGTTTCAGCAATTCCTTTCCATCTTTCTCTATTTTTATCATTATGAATATCTTAACATATTTTGTACCTTATTTTCCATTAATACTGAAATACTTATTTATACCTAACTCCTTATAACATTTCTGCTAAAGCCATAAAATTTCATTCCAACAATTTTCTAACACTCATTAAATTTACAATATTTCTATATATAAACTTTAAACTTTCCCAATCTTCTACCACCATCTCTTCTCCCTGGTCTCGGATTCTGCCAGTCATTTCCGTCCATTCCATATAGTTCATCAACCTGGAGATCTTCTGTCCGAGGCTCTTAAATCTTTTCCAAGTCCCTTCTGCAGTTTTTCTTTATATTCTTTGATGCTGAGGGTGCTGAAGCGCAGGTCTTGGGGGGGCCCTGACCCAACCATGCCCCCATTCCCTCTCGACAGACCAACCAACTCTCCACAGCTAAAACCAGTGTCCATACAAAATCTCAAATCATGTTTCAAGGCTCCCCCAGATCCAAAGGCCCCCACAACTCCAATCACCTCCTGACCCAGATTCAGGACCCAAAGGTCAGTAAATCTCTGCATGAAAGAGTCTATCCAACCTTCCTTCTTCAATCCAAACAGGGCTCCAATCTTCAAATTCTGACTTTTTCTATATTCATTCATAAAAGGCCTCCACTTATAGTCCTCAGTTTGCCTCTGTAAAACTGGGGCTTCCACTTGTATTATTTTAGGTTTAACAACACCAACATTCTCCTTCGTCTTCTCCCCAGTTTGTCCTGTCAAGGTAGGTTCCTGTGTCAAATCCTGAACAATTTCTGTATTAATGGTCACTTTTTGTTCCAAATTAGTCACTTTTTGTCCCAAGTTCTCAAGTTTGGTATTCATAGCGTCCGTCTTCTTGTGGAGCTGTTCCAACGAATAACTTATCTTACATAATACAGTCGCTAAGGCTCCTTCTGTCAACATTCTTAAAGTCCAAGGTCGATCTCTATTTCACACAGTTCTTATCTTGCAACTGGAAAACCCCCAACTCCACTCTTGTAACTGTTTCAAAAGCTCCCTCTAGAGGGAAACAGTCTCCACTTGTATCAATCCTTTCAAACACAGTTTAAACTATAAAGATAGTTTCTTTTCCTACTTTTTATACGCAGATAAGTACAATGGAAACAATATATTTCTCTTATTGCTAGCTGTCAAAAAACGTCACTCTTTCTGGCAGCCCGTTTCCAGGTTCGGAGCAGTGGTAATTTGGCTTTTCACTCTCTCCTCAAATTTCCCCCCCTCTTCTCCTGCTTCCAAGGGGGGTTTAATAGTTTTAACCAATGGAGATTTAATCCTTTACAAAAATAAACTTTCCAAGGCTTTAACTTGCAACTTCTTTGCTTCAACCTGTTTACAAAAAAGGAAGGCGGACGTCCTGTTTAGAACCTTCCTGTTTCGATGCCAAATTAATGAATTTAAGGATCTAATTTTCTGTTCTACTCACGGGTAGTTGTTTAAAATCCAATTGTCCACAGGAAAAAGTCAGCGCTCTCCGGCAACAGCGATGCGGCTTCACTCCGTGAAAGAAGCAGTCAATTCGAAGCACCGCGCCACTCACCCCACTTCGCTCCGGATCCCCAAATCAGGGTTCCCCGCGAGTAGGGGAGGCGCAAAGGGTGCCAGCCGAACCCCAAGTTCACAGGCTTCTCCCGCCTGTGATTTCAGTGGGTCTCCGCCTTCGCCGTGGCAGTCAGACCCTAATTTCCGCGGAGCAAATTCCTCCCGATCGGAGGAACTCCGCCATTGCCTGGAGGCGCCAACCCAGAAGTCTGACTAAAACAAGTTTCACATCCAACATACTTGTTATCAACTAGACCTCCATATAAAATGCAAACTGGCTGAAAATCAGTCTTAATTCCACAACCCTAAGGAAGAAAACTCACCCCAAATGTATCTCATTTTACATTAACTGCAACATCCTTAAAATGGCATAGTCTCTATAACAGACATGGCTATTTATTTATTTCCTTTGCCTGTCCCCCTACTCCTGAGTAGGTTGGTGAGGGTCCTGCTGTCCCTGAGGAGAGCCAGGCAACAGCAGAATCCTTGCCAAGGGGCTTCTTCCCTTCTAGGTTTGTGCTGAAACGGGTGGACATGGTTTATGACAGGCAACGTGCAACAGGCAGCAAGAAATGAGCTAAAGAAGAAGAAGCCATAATCTTTCTCTTATAATGCTTTATAGGCAATTTCTCTAAATTTCAAAAACCTGAGTTTTGTAGTTCTAAAAGCTCTTGGGTCTCCCTAGCTGCTTTGGATACTCACCTGCTAGGAAAGAACAAATCAATTTGCTAAGTGCCCAAAATAAGAGGGTGGAATCTTGTAACTTCTACACGCTGTTGAAATCTCTCCAAGGTTCAGTTTACAAGCTGGCTTGCAGAGCAAAAACAACCCATAGTTTCTTTGTTTGCATGAACATCAGACAATATATTGCCACCAAAAAATACATTTGAAGTACAGAGCCTGCGTGAAGGGGGAACATGCCAGCTCAAGGTTCTTAGGTGTTTGTTCACATAATGCTTTGATGCTGTGTTTTCATAAGTCCACCATTTGCCAGTCTTGACATATGCGGAGCCCTGAGTTACTATCCTGCCCTTCCTCCCAAAGGAGCCCAGGGTAACAAACAAAGCAGTAGAACACCACACCACACACCGTGATGAAAAATAAAATAAGGAGAAACATTTAAAAATTGTACGAGCATCAAACAATAAAGACTACTGCATGCCCTTGTAGCTAATACTGTAATCCCACAGTTGCCAGGCTAAGTCTGAGGTCTCAAAGAGAACTTGCCCCACCTTCTGGGAGCTACAGTCCAATGGAGCTAAGGTTGGTATGGCAAATAGCAACTGTATCACCACAAAAAAGAGGCATCTATCTCGCCCCCCCCCTCTCTGCCCTATTCTAATGTTAGATGACTGGCACGTGGGGGCGGTTTGCCCAAAACACATGGCAGGGCTTACTAGACCTGCAGATTCCCCACTGTTGCCCTAAGGCTCACTTCTTCTCTTATGACTGGTTTTAGAATTGGTTTATTCCAGTTTTAGTAATTAACCTTTAATTGTGCACCACTGTGAGCATTTTTCAACAGAGTGGCAGACTATAAATGTTTAAATAGAGTAGTGTACAGTAATTCCATAAAATTCTCAGACCTCTGTAGCACAAAGTCTCTATATAAAATAAACTCAGCATGCTGTAAATTAAAATCCTACTTGGTTGCATCTCCTTTGACTGATAGATAGCCCAGAGTTCAATTAAGAACTTTATTCAAGAGAAGCATTAAAAGGGGGTGGGGGGGCGAGAGAAACAGTGAGCATGTGCCAGAAGAGGAAAATAAACCACACTGGATTACCGGTCTTCCTAGCTCTGAACTGGATAAACCAGCAGAGCAAACTTCTCCCGGTGTTGCTTCTGCAGTTGGCAGGCCCTTGAGATGGTTGACAGAGGAGTGACAGAGCATAAAGACAGAACGGCATGTTTTACGAGGCCCTAGTGAGGGGGAAGCCCATGCAGGCGGCGGAAGCGCCAAATGTTAAGAATTGGCAAAGATGCAGTGAAGGTTTCCCCGTCAGTGAGCCCTGTGGATGAAGAAGGAAGGTTTCTTGGGGAGTGTAGAGTAGCAGTCAACTACAGAGAAATTGTCAGGTGTGGCAGGTTCAGAGACACGCCCATGTACATTTAAAAAAAAAAAATTTACAAACTACTGTGTCAGTCATTTATTGTCTTGATGTGATCAGGGATCAAACTGGCCTTTACCTTTTTCTTCATTCTTAGGAAGAGGAAACTTCTTCTCTGCCATCAGAAACTCTGGCTTTAAACCTGAATGCAAAGCCAATAATTAACTTAGGAACTATGTTTTTTTCTTTTTGGGGGGGGAGGGAGGAAGGGAGAATCAGAATCCTTATAGTTTTTAAGTTTCTACAAAAATGGCAGGCAACACAATAAAGTAGAAGTATTTCAAAATGTGTGTTAAGTCCACAGTCCTTGTAAAAATAAATTGAAATAATTCCATCACATGGTCATGGAAAACCCTTTATACTATTATATGCATTGCTACAAAGGGAACAGTAGGAAAATGCTGGATACATAACATTCAAGGTATCACATGAAAGCAACTCATGCAACACACTGGTATTTATGCTTACATACACATTGCGAGTTAAGAACTCATACAATCTCAGCCATAGCAAGATTTCCCCTATGATCTTTAATACTGGTCAACTGTGTTTAAGTATATTTTAATGTTGGACCACCTTGAGCACTATTTTAAACTAAAAGGCAGGGCTTTAAAAACAAACTTGTGTATCTCCAATAGAACAGTGTACCAGCTCCAAATCAATTCTTCTTCTTTTAGTCAAAAGTTAAAGAGATAAAATCTTGGTTTGCATACCTGGACCTTTTGCAGGAGGTGGTGGCTTCTTTGGCTTCTGCAAAGGGGACATGATATCAATCCCACTGAGGGTCAATTATAATGCTGAATGCTATATGCTGACTTAGACAACGGTCCCCAGGTGTACCCAGCAAGTCCATTTTCTTTGCTGTAGGTTAGCTGCACTTGGATTAAGGACACCTCTGGTTTACTGGATGTACCCAGGGACAAACTGTGCCATTACTAGTCTGTAAAATGCCACAGGTATTGTATAATTTTCAAGAGTTGCCTATATTTCTGTAACTTAAGTGCTATGACTAAAAAAGTAATTTTAAAAGAAATTAATAATGAGGCCTAAAGAGTAAAAATGACTAATGAGCTAAATATGTTCAGTATTTGTTCTATCTCTGCCTTGAAGTAGGGGTACATGATTTCTATAAAATGATAGTGAGAACTTACAGGAAAATCTTTATCTGATTCATAAATCTGAACTGCGAAGTTGTCTGGAAAAACTCCTTCTTTTCCACCAAGCTCGCCTTTCCACCACCCAGCCTCTCCAGTATCCTAGAACAACAAACAGTTCTTTGTAAAAACAATTTAAAAAGCATTCAAAACTTAATTTTACTGGACAACATCCAAAAACTTTTGAAACTTCATTTTGGCATGCCTAGAACTAACAGAAAAGGAACATGGATTAATGTCTTACCTTGCTTATTATTTGAATAATATCACTTTCTTTAAAACTAAGTTCATCCTCATTAGTACCTTCATAGGCAAATAAGGTCTTGCAATATTCCTTAGCTGAAAAAAGAAGTATAAATATTATGCGCGCCCAGTGCACTCCTGTTGCATGAATGCCAGTGTTTAAAGCTCACCAGTAGGACATTGGGGAGATGGATGGCAACAAAATAGCTAGTAAAAAATGCTGAATTTACAGTAATTGAACACAAATGTACTTTTAAAATCCGACATGTAATTGCCCAGAACGAGACCACTGTTTAACATTTAGCTGGCAACAATGTGTTGGTGGTTCCTCAGAACATCAGGGATGTGTCCACAAGACTAGTTAGATGGGCAAATAGCAGTGGGAGGGAGCAAGGATTGGTGAGCTGGAGTTGGCGGGGGGGCGGGGGGGGTCCACTGGTAGCAGAAGAGCAGCAAGTAAAATATAGTCAGCTGTGGCTTCAAATTCTGAGTCATAAAGAGAAAGAGAAGTATAGAGGAAGTGAGCTAAAAGGATAAGAAAGAGAACAAGGAGGATAGACAAAGATGCAACATGTGGATTTTATATACCGTATTTTTCACTCTATAAGACGCGCCAGGCCACAAGAAGCACCTAGTTTTTGGAGGAGGGAAACAAGAAAAAAATTATTCTGAACCCCAGAAGCCAGAACAGCAAGAGGGATCGCTGCGCAGCGAAAGCAGTGATCCCTCTTGCTGTTCTGGCTTCTGGAACAGCTGCGCAGCCTGCATTCGCTCCATAAGACGCACACACATTTCCCCTTACTTTTTAGGAGGGAAAAAGTGAGTCTTATAGAGCAAAAAATACGGTACCTACCATGTGCTTGCATACATTGTCTTGCAATATTCTCTGTCCTTGAAACCCTCATAAAGCAGAAATGCTGCGTTTGTGTGTGGGTATTTTTCTGTCACCCATAAGCTTTACTCAACCCCTGCCAAATTGGTATGGAGACCATGGCGTATGGGGCCCAAGAAGGTGGGCAGCTGCAGGGCTTTTTTTTCAGTGGGAACTCACTGGAACTCAGTTCCGGCACCTCTCAGGTGGGCACCATTGTCATTCGAAGAGAACAAGGGAGTCCCAACACCTTTTTTTCTAGAAAAATAGCAGTGGGTGGCTGACGGATGGGGGATTAATATGGCAGCAGGAAAGCAGCGTCTTGAGGGAAGGGGTGACGGAAGAGGCAGAATGCTAAACCATAAGCCGAGAGAAGCCTCCCACGATCAAGGTGGCAGGCTGGGAGAAAGCCTCCCGCAGAGCCTGGGGTTGGAGGGGCTACATTATCACGCTGGTAGTAAAGGGACAGAGAGGTAGACTAACAGCCGGACAGGCTGTTCATCCGTCAAATGAGGAATTCGTGGAAGCGTCTGAGAAAAACACTGGCTTGCTGAAGTTTTGCACAGCCTTAACAGCAAACCTTTCAATAATGGCTTCTTTTTTAAAGATTTAACATGAAGATCACAAAACAACATGAAAATATAAAACAATACCTTTCTGTTTGCTTTCTGTTTCTGTTTTTGCTACCTCAGTTGCAATTTCTGTTTTCGTTGCACCAGGAAATTGGGTTACTTTTGGTCCAGATGGATGAGTAAATATTGGCTACACAAGAAATGTGAAGGTTAAAAACGGTCCCTAGGCAAGAGCCAAATATACTTGAATTTGCAATTAAAGCTCCTGCCCATATGATCAACAAGGTGTAGAACAAGCATTATAATGTAATACATATGGCAAGAATTTTATTCTTGTTTGGAAAATTATTACTTAAGTTTAGGAACAGTAGCAATGTTTCTGACTTGGAAACAGTCACCTGCCAACTAAAATGCTACTACAGTGGTACCTCTAGTTACCAACTTAATTTGTTCTGGAGGTCCGTTCTTATCCTGAAACTGTTCTTAACTAGAGACGTGCTTTCGCTAATGGGGCCTATTGCTGCCGCTGTGCCACTGGCACAAGATTTTTGTTCTCATCCTGGGGCAAAGTTCTCAACTCGAGGTAACTCTTCCAGGTTAGCGGAGTTTGTAATCTGAAGCGTTTGTAACCTGAGGCGTTTGTAACTCAAGGTACCACTGTACAGGAATCAAAGCAGTGTTCCTTAAAGGTAATATGCAGACATTTACACAATTTGTACCTGCTTTCTGTGTCAAGCTACCTGGATTTGCATTTATATTTCTATGGCTGCTAGTTTAAGAATTAATCCTCTCCAAATGGAGCACACGAATGTGCTTCCTCCAGCTTGGTCTGTGTTCTAATGGTGCACTCTCTATCCTTAAGAGCTGCCAAGGTCTTTGATGAGGCTTCAGCATTCCCAGAGGGAACAGCAGCATTGGCGAATGACAGGCGGCACCACCAGAACCAAGGTAAGCGTCGCATATAGAGAATCATGCAGAACAGACAGCTCTCCATTCACTGTCAAATAGCAGAGCAGGAGAAACCTCTATACTACCAGAATGGGATGATGAAACACCCACAGGGGAGAGAGAGCAAACCTCAACTATGTGAGGGGGTCTTCTCAAGGCAGCTTTGCACCTACACTTACCACATTAGAAATCACAGCTGCTCACGTGTAAAATGCACACATACAAAAACTGCTTTACTACCAAGGAATTCTGGGCATATGGAAAGACTGCACTTTCTCTTTCAAAAGTAAGCCTGGCAGGTTACTGAACAATATACTTCCCGAGGTGAATCTGCCTATTGTGATACGTGTATAGAAGAGAAACAACAGCTTCTAATGCGGCAAGTGCCCACCCAAAACTGCCTTGAGAAAAGCACAGCTACAGCAGGAACTGATTTTATCCAAACGTGTTTCAACAGGCACACTTAGAGGACCACAGACGCGACTCCCTACCCTGACTCTTACCTTGACTATCAGTGGACACAACAACACCATTCAAACGGGAGGCTGCTCTGCCACCTACAGAAGGGCATTTTTCATTTCATGTAATATCTGAGAACATTTGGCCGTGACTAGTTGATTGGCATCCCAACTTCAGATTTTTTTAAACTGTCACATTTTCAAACTTCTCCCTGTAACGATCAAAGACTAGAAACTAAGGATGTTCCTCTCCCAATGCAAAAAGTGGGATACTGTGCAATTTAACAATTCTGTGCCTGCCACTGCTCTACATAAAAGCCGCCAACAGTAACTGTTGCAGAAGGTTGTCTGTGAAGCAGCAACTCTTCAATAGAATAAAAATCTTCAGCAAATAAGTTACAATGCTATTAGACGCTTAAGATGCTGAGTAGTAACTAATGTTGCTGTTTTGGAAAAGATGCCATCACAAATTACACATGGAAAATAAAATACCTTATCTTGCTTCTTCTCTTCTGAATCATTACTGGGTGATCTTGTCTTAAGCTTCACAGAACCTTCTTTAAAAATATCTCCAAACCCAACTCCTCGGATTTTCTTTGGCTGTGCTATCAGTGCAGGCCCAGACTCAGTAGTATTCCCTGGTGGGGTTACAGGTGAGAGCGGGTCAGGAAAAACAGGCTCTGTGTGGAAATGTGTGAAAATAGTTAACAAGCAATGTTAAGGAGGAAAATGTCTTAATACGTATGTGAAAGCCTGCTTCTAGGACTTGTTTCAAGTTTTACTTTTTGTTTTAACTTGGTTTAAATTTTTGAACTAAAATAGAATTACAGTTGACGGCTGACACCTTCATACATTACAACAGCAAAAAAATCTTGCAGAAATTGTTACATATACCGAGCAACCATTTCCTCAGAAAATAGCATACCTTTTTCCTTTAGTCTATTAAAATACTGTTTTTATAACTGACCCATTTTGCACGAGTGAAGATTGGAGCTGCTGCCCTCTTCTCCTACCATATAACTGTCTGCAAACACAAGACGCGCTACCTGCATCATCCGGGTCTTCATGGGTTTCTCCGTCATCTATGACCTCCAGCTCTTTTACAAAATTAGAAGGAAATAGTCCTAATTTGCCATTTAGTGTTCCGCTCCACCAGCCTTCTTCCACCTGTAGAAAGGATGATCACAAAGGCAAAATTAACTCACAGCTTTTGTAATATGCCAATTAAAGAAGACCGTCAGGAATTCAATATTGGATAATATGTATCCAATATTAGCACTGGGGGATCAAACAGAACACAGGTTGCTCACAGCGAGCGTTTCTCCTGCCTTGGTACAGTGGTGCCTCGCAAGACGAAATTAATCCGTTCCGCGAGTCTCTTCGTCTTGCGGTTTTTTCGTCTTGCGAAGCACGGCTATTAGCGGCTTAGTGGCTATTAACGGCTTAGCGGCTTTAAGAAAAAGGAAACAAACTCGCAAGAACTTGCAAGGCGTTTTCGTCTTGCAAAGCAAGCCCATAGGGAAGTTCGTCTTGCGGAACGACTCAAAAAACGCAAAACCCTTTCGTCTAGCGAGTTTTTCGTCTTGCGAGGCATTTGTCTTGCGGGGCACCACTGTATTCAACAATGGCTTAATATCCTGCCCTTGCTTAGGAAGGCAGCAAATAAAGTAGTCTAGCTTTCTCCACTGCAGATTCTGCCATCCACCACGACCAAGCTTGAGACAGAATGAGGAGAGAAGAGAAAAAGAGAAAGAGCCTTAGCAGGGCAAACCACATGCAGCCCTCGTGAATGGGCTAAAGCAGGAGTCGGCAAACTAAGGCCCGCGGGCCAGATCTGGCCCAATAGCCCTCTGGATATGGCCTGCGGATGGTCCTGGAATCGCTGCTTGGATCAGCGTGATCATTCAGGCTGCGCCATTTTGGGGGCATTTTTTTTCCGGGCGTCGGTTCTTGTTTTTTGGCCATTCCCCCCCCCCCCTCCCTCACACACACCGCGGTGGCACCTCCTCTCTCCTGGCTTCTCCCCACCCTGCAGAGGAAGGGAGCTGGGCTTTGATTGGTGCCAGCCAATCTGAAGCCTGCAGCCCTCGCGCTGAGGCGCGGCTCAGAATCACCACCCACCCGCCGACCTCTCCGTCCATGTCTGCGCTGTGGGCATCGTGACGGGCGTTGTGGGGCTTTGGCTGGAGCTTGGGGCGCCATCTGGCCCCGCGCCAGGGAAAGCTGGCCCGAAAGGGAGAGGCGCCGCCACTGTCGCCAAAGCGCAGGCAGAGCAGAGGAGGAGTTAGGAAAGCAAGGGGGAGGGGCCGGGGCCGGGGGAGAGAGAAGCCCCCCTCCACCACAAGGTCTGAGGGACAGTGAACCGGCCCCCTCCTAAACAAGTACTGACCCCTGTGCTAAAGAGTAGCATCAAAGGCCCATTTCAAGTTGTTATGTGGCGGGAAGGAGTCTCCACTTTCACCCTTTCCAAGCTGGATACTGTAACTAACACACACCAAACCCGTCCCCTGTCCCTCCATTCACGTTACACCAGACTCGTTCCAGCAATACCTTGCCACAACTTGTATGGGGGAAGCAAACAGCCAGGTGCTGGGGAATTTCAGGCCCACGACCAGACGTGGTCCTCCAGGCTGCTCTCTCTGGGCCTGGAGGCTTTCCCTAGGCCCTGCCTCCAGGCTATGGCCCTCGCAGGGTGCCTATCCTACTCTGAATGGGCCTTGACCTGGAGCAGGGGCTCTTGTTTGCATGGGGGGAGGAAGACCCTGGAGCTACTAGAAGCTGTATATTCCATGTGGAGGCCCCAAGCCTGTGCCTCTCCCTCTCTACTAAGATTAAACAAGGACTTTCCTTGCTGAACTTCAGGCACACAACTAAGGTTGTATTGTTCCAGCAGGAAGTTTAAGCTAGTGTTCATTTTCATGGTAAGTTTGTGTGTGTGATTTTCTGTGAATTGTTTTTATGCAAAGTGCTTAGAAATATGAATAATCAAGCAGTATATAAATGTCTTAAATAAATAAAATAGATAAGCCTGAGGTTTTTTGCAGGGTTCCAATTTATCTTCCTGAGGATGTAGAAGTGGAATTATCCAATCTGGTGATTTTAAACAGATCACAAGTGCTTCCTGCATTTTGTCAAGTACTTGGAATCTGTCACGACTGAACACTAAGCAAGTTATTTCCATTATTTTCCCATGACGTTTTATATCCCGAAATGCATTTCAGACAGAACCGCCTTACCACCTTCTCAGTCAAGTCTATTTGTTTTATAAAATAGGCAGCTTCACATCCTCCTCTTATCAAATCTAGCTTCCTCATTATTTCACTATGTATACTACATACTTCCAAAATACTCTAATCCTCTAATTTCTAAGTATCTATTTCTAGGTTATCTTCAACTGTCGACATCTTCATTTTGACTATCCCATTTGGTTAATTTCCCAATGTTTATGTGGATAGTTCAGTTATTTCTTTCTGTGAGAAACAACTTTCATTTTATCCCCCATAATTCTGTAAAATGGCTTACCTCTTCATTAATGTCTATAATATCTCCAAGCTTGAGCTCCAACTCATCTTCATTCTGAGGAATATACTCAAAAAGAACTTTACATTGCCGCTTTTTCGATTCTGTTGAAAGTGAGAAACAAATTAACTCAAAGTGAAGTTTACCTTTAAAAACAATTTTATATGTTACATTTTGGAATTAAGCCATTAAGATATGCATTCTTATAGAATGATCAAGGACTCTTATGGCAGCTTAAAACCTAACATATTGTTTATAGCACAGGCTTTGTGGTCTATATGTACACCATGGCTGAATGTTAAGTGAACAAGCAACAGCAAGCCTTAGGGTTCCTGTCCTAAACTAACGGTGATTTGTCATTATGTCCCCAAAGGATGAATTGTTCCTTTTGCGTGCAATGATAAACCAGTTAGTTAAAAGCAGGAAGCAGGCGCTTGTAAACTCTTCCTTGTAGTGACACCCTCTGGAAATTATCCTATATATATGCCTTCTTTCTGGTTGCCTAGAACAAGCAATTTTTGTGTGGATCAATTTGAAATTCATTTGTGAATGCTGAAATGTAGCACAGGTGTTCATTTTAGTTTCATTACTCATTTCTAAACATGAAAAACTGTTGAGAATTGCAAGGGACTCTCAATTCAAGATGGTGGCTAGGAGACATCTTGAAATTGATGGGGCATTTAACAATGAAAGGAACACTGAACTCATTCAATCAATTGTGTCCTGACTTGCATTTGGAACCAAAATTAAACAGATCTGTAAAAGAAACTATACTTATCATTGCACCTGCTGAAGCTGCGTGTGAACAATGGTTCCTAACTGCAGCTATTCAAGTGCAAATACAGGAAGTGTTATGTGTTGGTTTATTAGTGAAACACATAAATATTTTCAGAAATGGGTGTCCTTAAAATCATTAAAGATGAGTTAGCAGACAGCAGTTTCAATAGAAACTGAGTAAATCCACATGAACAGGCAGATACTTGCAGCACATAGTATCTGGTTACAAGGCTCCATGATGAAGAAGAAGAAGAAGGGTTTGGATTTGATATCCCGCCTTTCACTCCCTTTAAGGAGTCTCAAAGCGGCTAACATTCTCCTTTCCCTTCCTCCCCCACAACAAACACTCTGTGAGGTGAGTGGGGCTGAGAGACTTCAGAGAAGTGTGACTGGCCCAAGGTCACCCAGCAGCTGCATGTGGAGGAGCGGAGACGCGAACCCGGTTCCCCAGATTACGAGACTACCGCTCTTAACCACTACACCACACTGGCTCTCATCTTATGATGTAGAGCATAATCCATGTATCTGTTGAAAATGGAATGAAACAAGTTCATGATCTTCTAAAAGTGTGCCTACAAACATGTTTGTTTGGGATCCCGCTAAGGATCTGCACAAACATACTGCCAAAGGGGAAATTTTCTACCCTCTTATTGCAAAGTTGTATGTCATGTGAAGATGCATTCATTCAGTGAGCCATATTTGTGCATCATCATTATCCTCTAGTCATGAGGCTCTGGAGGAAGGCATTTCAGAACAATGTTGAGAAATACCTCCTGAAATCAGCACTAATACAGGCCAAATGCAGATATTTGAAGGGATATTTGTAGAGACATTTGGGAAACTTGCTGAAGATCTCTTAAGGACTATTCTCACGGCACCACACACACTTAAGAGAGCAGAAGGAGTGGCATGGAAGAGTTCTGCTAACGGTTCAATAGAAAACATGCTGGGAAAAGCAGATACCCTTGCTGGCTGCTGCCAAGCAGATGGAAAATGACTGGAGTCTAGAATGTAAGAAGAGACTGCTGTATCAGGCTAGGAGCCCATTTACCAGGATCCTGTTAATGATTATCTAACTACCAGCACGTACAAAAGGATTTTCCTGTAGTAACTGTACATTCTAACAGCAGTGGGGCATGGCTGTTAGAATTTGTGATCAGATTTCAACTTCTTCCACCAGCTGAATTCAAAAAATAAATGTAAAAAACATGTCAACATGTGAATAAGAAAAGTATGACAGTATTTGAATTATAATGGTTTGGGAGGGCAGTATAATACCTGCCAATGGAGTGACAATGTTATCATATATTAAACAGATATCCTTGCATTATTATTTTTTCTGAAATAATTTAGGAAAACAACCTGCAAGACCTATTTGCACATGATCTGAGAGTACCCCAATGATATCACCACTTAACAAGAGATTTATCTAGCTATCAAGGAAATGATTACATACTCCTCTTGAAGCTTTTAGACTGGGAAGTGGGCAGGAATCCTCCTGCTGGAAGCCCGTAAGTGCTCATGCGCTGAACAAGGTTGGCAACATTTCCATGCCTTTCCTTCTTGACTGGCAAATCATCATTCTGAGAGTCCGTCTCTTTCTTAACTTCCTAGTAAAGATAAGAACAGGGGGGCAGTGGGGTGAGAAGAGAGATTGACTACAGGAGCCTAAAATATTCATAACAAGCTATAGCCCTGCACTGAAGGAAGGGAAGCATCAGACAGCTTGCTCCCTCCTCCATGGAACAGCCCTGTAGATATCTGAAGATGTCTCTCATATCTCCTCTCAGCCTCCTCTTTTCCAGGCCAACATACCCGGCTCCTTCAACCATTCCTCATAATGTACCAGAAAAGGGTCATTCCTGGTCCAAACCATTTATTTAAACCTCTATATAAACTCAGAGTTATCTAAGATTTGCTTTGCCATAACAAATATAGGAGAGATTTGATTTGAAAACACTTTAAAGGACTGACAAAGGCAAAACCACATTTAAGAACTTCTGCACTGACGATAAAAGTAGAGAAGTAAAGTTTTTCCTTACAGCAACTGTCACATTAGGCGCAAGAGTTAAGGAAATAACCAACAACCAGTGTCTATTTGTATTTTAACTTTAGAAGACAGCACCAAAGCAAAATTGTACCAAAAAAACCAGTGCAAGCTTCCTGAACAAAGCAGGAACACTGTGAGGAGCTCCACTCCCCAGTATGTAAATTCAGATGAGCTGCATCTTCATGAGTTCATGAAAAAAAATATTAACAACTTGCCAAAAAATTAAAAGCAGCATCTGAATCCAAGCATAATAAAATTGAACTATACTAGGCAGTTATGTAAACCTAGGAAACTTCACATAATTTACAGACATTACATCAGACTAGGTCATGAAATTAAACATTCAGCTTAATTGTTTCTAAAAAATCAGAGTACAATAACAGTTTAACCAGGTTCAACCCACTACTCACAAAAGGTTGTTATTCTCATACTATATCACTGCTTTTAACAAGGGAAAAATGAACTTACTGGTTCTAAAGACATATTTGCTTGAACACACCCAGGTAAGTCTGTGAGTATTGTGTATTTTGAACCAAGTTTCAAGCCAAGTTCTTGCTCTGGCCAAAGTTCAAGTATCAACTAGCAAGCTTCCTGGTTCATACGATGTTTGTAGCAGCAGCTGCTTCTGCACAAGGAAATCACCAACCTTTTCTCCAGCAGCGAACTGGAGCTCCAATCACAGCTCATGAGCACAAACAATTAAAAATTAAGAAGTTTTAAAATAAATAAATAAAAAGCTCTTTCATTTGCCTAAGTGCCTTGAACAGATAATCAAAGTAACAGTTCAGTCTGCAATATTAATATCAGAAATATTTATGCAAAAGATTCATTTACTTGATAAACTGCTTCACAAAGTCAAAATAAATATTTTTAAGAGTACTAGCAGAAAGAACAAATGGTGGGGTGTTCATGACCTATTTACTGGAAAGATAAAGGTTGCAAGTTGAATCCAATGCTGTTCCTGCATGAGCAGAAAAGGTCTCCATTCGCTCAACAGGACTTCTTCTCACAGCCCCCAAAATCTGCTCTGGAGGCTGGACTGGGTCTTCCAGGCCTTCAGTAGCTTCTGGATTACCTGAGGGACCACAGGGATGTTGCTGGAATGGGGTGTGGAGGGGCAGAAATAGGAATATAATCCATAGTTTACAAAGAATGACGTTATGCAGACAGAAACATACTCTGTGTTGCTGCCTGATAGTGGAAGGAGTACAGGCCAGTAATCTTGCACTGGGTCTTGGGTTAGAAGTGGTTTTTTTGGGGGGGGGATTGTTGCTGTTTTGCAGGGTTTTTTTGTATCTGTATTTTAGATCTTATTATGATTTGTGTGGAAATGGTTCAGTTTGGCTGTGTACTTTTTGATGCTTTATTTTAATGGTGACTTTTGTTGTGTTTGTAATTTTTTATGTTGTAAGCCTCCTTGAGCATGGTTTAGACTATGGGAAGACAGCTTACAAATACCTAAAATGATGTATGTATGCTGTACGTAATCTTGGCAGCGATTGAGAAATCAGAATAGGTACTGCTCTTCAGATGTTCAGCTTGTGAGTAAAAAGTGGCAGTTTTACAGGGCTGAACTCCCAGCAGTCCAAAAGCTGCTTTCTCCAGAAGTACTCACGATAAAACAATGTGTACAGCGTGTGGCACTCAGGAAATTCCAAGGTGAAACTCCTGCTTATGTGAACCTTCTTGCTGCAGGAGGAAGCAGGGCAATAATGGTAATGTGAAAATGCTGGTGGGGGGGGCAGGGGGACTAGTCAGTTTCAATCTGGAAATGAAATGATGGGGTGGGGGAGGGGAACATGCTAGGGTTTCAAGCTGGCTTGTTTCTAACACCCAGTTAGAACTGGATTGGCGTTCTAATGGTCAGAGTCAGTGAAAGGCAGTTTTATAGGGTACGCTTTAGCCTCTCTGAAATGCTCTTCCTTTGCAAACTGTAGCTCTGTGGCAGAGCAGCTGCTTTGAGTGCAGAAGGTTAAACCCCCAGCATCTCCAGGAAGGGCTAGATCTTAAAGACGCTTTGTCTTGTGCTACAGACTTCAGTTCAAAAAGCAGACAACACACATTCAGTAAATCTCACTCACAAGTGGGCAGGACCAAAACCCAGAATGGTTTTGTTATCTATTTCAAGATATAAGAATATTTATTCCACTTACACTCTTCTCTCCATACCAAATACGCCATCAGATACACAAAATCAAACTTCAGAATGCACAGGTAGGGCATCCCCCCCCGGCAAAAACCCTCTTTTTGTCGTAATTTCCAGTCTGCTCTCCCCACCCCCATGCTCAGCCTGCACTCCTAAAAAGCAAAATGATGCAGCAGAATTCAAATAAAGGGGGGGAAACCATTATTCTTCCTGGCAAGCCAACAAAAATATAATTATGAGAAGAAATGAAGGAAAATGCAAGAAAAGAGGCCCTTGCACTCTTGAAAAGCAAGATCACCATGAGAAGCCCCTTCAACAATCAACCAGCTCATGAAAGCCTTACAAGTAAAACTTGCCAGCCACAAGGTGTCTCACCCTGAAAGACTGTCTTCAGTTGCTACCTGCAAAGTTCTCAATTTAAGGGGAGGTTTCGCCAAGAGAGAAGCAATCCATTTAACCACATTCACAGCTTGTTTACTTATGCAAATCATACCACAATGGAAAGGGTCCCTCCTCAGCACATCAAAAGGCTTCCTGGGAATTTCGAGCACTGCCCATCTACTGATGCTAAGGGAGAGTGACCCTGCTGAGTTGAAGCACTGCCAAAGTGGGGATCCAGTGCTAAGCAGGATCCCTCTCCCTTCAGTCAGTGCAAAGGGGGAGTGAGGCTGCTTGGCACTGGGCTCAGGCACACAATCAGCTGGTGCAAAAGAGAGGGATGCCCCCTGAAACTGGGTCCCAGCTTTGTGCAGCGCTTCAAAGGCTCCTGACAAACAGCTGGTTGCCAGGCACTTTGGGAGCCGCACAAAGCAGGTTTTGGGCAAGCCCCATCCTCACCTGTATGATGCCAGGTGTAGGGCAGGTAGGTGTGGCTTGCCTGAAATGGCCTCAGCGGACAAACGTGGAGAAGCCTGAAGGGGCACAAGGGGCATGCAAGCTGAAGGTTCCTCACCCCTGAGCTAAACGAAGCTTTTGGGAGAAACAAACAAAGCCCACTGCTGCTAAGTTCATTATTTAACATCACCTCACCTGGCAGCTGAGGTAACTTACACTCTCATTCTGACAGGCCAACAACAGCTCTAGAAATTCAAGTTTTAAAATACAGTAGTACCAAATGTGAAAGCAAGATTTTTTAAAGTGTAGGTTAAGGTATCTGTACTGTAGAATTGTTGAGGGTATTCTGAAGTCCATTCCCCTTCTGAATCCATTACATTCCTAATACTTGGCAGGCAATTTGTTTCAGTGCAACAACGTCAACAGCATTTCATTACTCAGAATAGGACATCAAGCATGTCATCCTGCTGTTGAGAAATTGTGCCCTTCAACCCTGATGAAAAATATTCTACATACATCCTGAAAATGTGGAAGTTTGGCTTTGTTTCCTTATTTCGAATCCTTTAGCTTAGGGATGGAGAAACATCAGCCCATGGGCCTGATGAGGCCCCACCAGCAGTCCCAATCTGGCTTTCAGTTTTGTTTCCCCAAACTATAACATCTCCCCCATCATACTAGTGTAGAATCAGGAACCTTAAATTGAGCTCCTGTTTGTGCTTGGGTAAAAGAGGCTTGCTCTTACTGCCCATCAGCTGACTGGCAGTAAAAGGGAGCTAGTTGACATCAGCTGTGCAATCCTTGAAGGGGCTTGCACATTATGGAGCAGGGCCCTTTGCAAGCCTCTTGCTCCTTGCAAAGAGCCCTGTTCAGCTCTTTGAAGCACTAACAATCAGCTGGCAGGTGGTGCTTCAAAGCACCCAGCAAGGCTCTTTGCATGGTGCTTTGAAGTCCCAGCAATTGTCAGGACCCGCCAAAAGGTCCCATCATCTGACATCATGGCCGTGTCAAGTGACTGGCTGCCCACCTGCTCATCTGGCCCACAAGGGGTAGAAGAGATCAGGATCTGGCCACCTGGCCAGATCCAATTCTCCAATTCTGTTTTAACAGCTCTTTTCACCACACTCAAGTCATGATATCCAGGGGATCAGAATCTTCTCCATCCCATTTCACCACCAGCTGTTTCTCCTTTTAAATTTATATTATATTATGAGATTTCAAGGAGTCATTATGTTAGGCAAAATAACAAGTAACTCATACAATCCAAATTGCAGAATGTCAGATGGTGGTTGCAAACAACAAAGCAGGTAAATATTCAAGAAGGATGAAAACTTCTATACAGTGCAGAAGAATCCCTGCATTGATTGAGAAATATCTTGGCCACAGATATTCATTCTTTATAAAGTCTTTGAACTTTAGCTCCAAAACCACTCTGTACAAGCTTCTGTGCAGAGAGAAGACCCATTCAAATGGAGAAGTGAGGGAGACAAGACCCAAACCCATTTCTGGACCAAAAGCCACTAGTGAGGTACCAAACATAAATGACTCTGTACACTATCCATTTTCCATCCAACTGCATCTAGTACACCATCTTAAAGTCATTATATTGGTACAAGCTAAATCAGACATAAAGGCTGAGAAGGGGGTAACTAGATGCAGGGATACAATTTTCATCAGTCACCCGTAATGTCAAGTTTGGCCCACTGTGATGCAATATGCATGAACCTAGTAACTTTTTCCTTGCACATTTGTTATGTCAGTTGCAGCGAGGAATACAACTGGCATTAAAGAATAGAATGGGTTCCAATTCAGAGCTTTTGCAAGTTGCAACCTTAAGAAGAAAATGCCATAAAATATAAATAGGGAAAGTCAATAGTAAGCTGCAATACGAAAGAAAACAAATCACAGCCTTAAATTTACAACTCTTCAGAATAGTCCCAGCCAATTTCTAGAACTAATCAAGGTCTTTCTTCCTACAAAGGTTTTCGCACACCACTCTAGAATTTCAGCTGTATCATTATTGAAATAGTTCTGATCTCCAAGCTTAATGTCAAGTAGTACAGGTATGATTTAATGTTTGAAGTTGCACAACTGTTATAGTGAAGAATTGCGATGAACTTGCCTTAACAAAGTTGTCAGGAAACATGCCTCTTCGCCCACTGAGCTCTCCTTGAAGCCATCCTTCTTCTTCTAGTTTTGCCACATTCCTTATGATTTCTCCAACTCGAATAGTTAGCTCGTCATCATGCACTGCATCATAGTCATACTCCACAACATACTCAACTAGGAGGGAGAAGAGAAGAGTCAATAATAATAATAATAATAATAATAATAATAAATTTATAGCCCACCCATCAGGCTGGGGTTCCCCAGCCACGCTGGGCAGCTGCCAACAGAATATTAAACAGAATAAAACTTCAAACATTAAAAAACTTCCCTAAACAGGGCTACCTTCAGATGTCTTCTAAAAGTCAGATAGTTGTTTATTTCCTTGACATCTGGTGGGAGGGCGTTCCACAGGGCGGGTGCCACTACCGAGAAGGCCCTCTGCCTGGTTGCCTGTAACCTCACTTCTCGCAGCCCTCAGAACTGGACCTCAGTGCCCGGGCTGAACGATGGGGGTGGAGACGCTCCTTCAGTTATACTGAACTGAGGCAGTTTAGGGCTTTAAAGGTCAGCACCAACACTTTAAATTGTGCTCGGAAACGTACTGTATGTAATTCAGGCACATGGAAGTACAAGCCCTACTTGTGTGTGTTTTTACAAACTGCTTTAATACTCATAACACTCACAAAACCAAAGAAGAGCAACATACCAAGGCTGGAAGTTACAAGAAAGAGGCTCAAATGAGAGGGTAACTAAGTTGATATTCAAGATTGCGAAGTGTGTGGCTTTGCCTACATCTGTCCATGCAAGGGTTTGATTTCCAACCCACACCATTCCTGAACCTGCCTTTGCCCTTCCAATCTTTATCCCTTTTAGGCTCCACGGCCCATCAAAGCTACTGCCACCTGAGGAAGCCACCCTGGCACCCAGTGTTAGCGTTGAACCCTGTGCAGACCCGAGGTTTCCTCACATGAGGAGCTGGGCCCTCCAGCAGATATCCACCATGGCCACAGTCTTCATTCCAAGAAGCCATCAGATATGTCTATCTGATGAGGAGAAGAGGAGACTAAGAGCCAGGCAAGAACTTCAAAGCCGCTGGCGAAGTGTCCACCAGCTGTGCATGGGGCTCCTCAGGAGTATGGGAAAGCACACAGTAACGCTTGCTTGGATCAGAACCCAACTGAGAGCCCCAGTTCCTATAGAAGCTCCCAGACTGAAGCAATTGCTCTTATCAAAGCTTCAGTCTTCCTAACCTGGGAAAACAGACACCCAAATAAGCAGACCAGAGGTTTTTTTAGCACTGGCAGGCAAGTCAATACAAAACAAAATAAATCACTTATCAACTAATTAACAGCTAACAACCCCCCCCCCAAAAAAAACACACACATCACCGATGCAGGACTGCTTAGTAAACACTGGACAATGGGAATAGGAATCCAACATGCGCCGGAGAGAGACAGAATAAGTAATATTCCTGTTCACCCAAGGCAGGGTGCTAGCCCTCCAGTAGGCCCTCAGGCCAATAAAGCAGCAAAAAGAAAAGAAGAAAAAAAGGCGGGGGGGAGATAGAATAAAGTGCACTCAAGAAAGAAAAGAACCAAACAAAAGAAAAGAGAAAGCAAAAGAGGTAAAGGACAGGGCAGTAAAAGGGAGGATGAGCTCTCTGGATGAGGAAATAACTTGACAATAGTGCTCTTGTGGTGGCCAGAAGGGAACTTAATGGGAAGATAGTAATTCCTGCCCCTTGAGTCTTGTACACTCTCGGGGGGGGGGGGGCAGGAGGCCTCTTGTACCCAGAGGTTTGTAGCTCCCTTCCAAATATTGCTTTGTTCTGGTGTGGCCACACAAAGGCCACAATGAAGAATTTAGGTAACAATCCTGTGCATAATCACATGGAAGTACCATATATACTCGAGTATAAGCCGACTTTTTCAGCAGATTTTTTATGCTGAAAAGGTCCCCCTCGGTTTATACTCCAGTGAGGCGGGCAGTGGCAGGACGAGCGGCCCAAAAGGAGCCGTTTCGGGCTGCTTGTTCTTCCTGCCGCCACCGCCACCAGGTCTGTGGTGTGGTGAACCAGCTTATACTCGAGTCAATAAGTTTTCCCAGTTTTTTGTGCTAAAATTAAGTGCCTCGGCTTATATTCGGGTTGGCTTATACTCAAGTATATATGGTAATCTTCATTTACATAGGATTAGGGTGCAAGTCCAGAAGACGGGTTTTGTTGATATTTTAGTTTGCTTGTTTTTTTAAAGTCACAGATTTAGACCTGAAGGTTACAAGCAAGTCAATAATCAAGAGTTAATTTTAGCCATTTTTGTGTGTCTGCTGTTTTTCCTGCGCTCTGGCTATAAATAGACTGATATAGCGTCACCCACACTACCACAAGCATTTTCTACATATGCCAGCATTTCCCATTTCAGCAACAGGCCGGTTTTTTAAAAAGAATAAAATGGAAAAAAAAGGCTTCTGGTTAAACAGTTCAAGCACAGCAATTTACATTTCAGTAACTTTTGGAGATAAAAATATGAATTATTAACAGTGGTCAAAAGTTTTTATTTCATTCTATGCACAAGGGAAATAAGGATTACGTTCTGCATTATTTTATTAATACTATTGCCTAATACAAGTTTGTCATGGCTTTTGACTAGAACAATAAACTTATGAGCTGAACTTGGCAAGCTGCTTTGCCACCACTACACGCCCCCCCCCCCCCCCGGCTGCTACTTGCTTATTTCTCTCTCCAACTTACGAAGTAACATTCAACCACTTTAGACTAGTGGAAAAGCTTTAGCGATGTTACACAATATGTATATGTATAACACATACATATACACATACTGCATGTTAAACTTTACTTTGTGCCCAAATGATTATAAAAGATGACTTTAAATTATGATAATCAAAGGAAACTTTCACTCAAATTTGCACAAGACTATTGTGGAGTAGATGAGATAAGTATGTTTTGAAGATGTTTCCTACTCATTACATATTTACAGATGTTAGAAGCATTCTGATGTGTCTAGGCATGTGACTATAGCAAAACATACTTTGTAACACACAGGAAATTCCTTCCCCACCTCATCCCAGTACAGTGGTACCTCGGGTTACATGTGTTTCAGGTTACATACGCTTCAGGTTACAGACTCCACTAACTCAGAAATAGTACCTCAGGTTAAGAACCTTGCTTCAGGATGAGAACAGAAATCGTGCAGCGGCAGCAGGAGGCCCCATTAGCTAAAGTGGTGCTTGAGGTTAAGAACAGTTTCAGGTTAAGAACAGACCTCCGGAACAAATTAAGTACTTAACCCGAGGTACCACTGTATCACAGCAAAAATCAGTGCACATTTGGGTAGGTAGGCTGTCCTAAACATCTGTTTGGTAGAGAAGATACAAGCATTTATAACACTGGGCAAGAATTTTTTACTTTTTGAATGTTGTCTAGATTTCTACAACTGATTTAGGGTATTTTTGCACTGCTGAATCAGGAAATGGCATCCGTTTCTCTCCATCAGGTCAGGTTTACTGTAAACTGAACGGTGGGCATTGATATAGGTAAGTACACGTAAACTGCATGTTGCTTCACCATTTTTCAAACTTCAGGGCTTGAACTTCCGTTTCTTGGAACTCCTGGAATGCTCAGCGGCAGGGAGGTCTCTCTTCAGAGTCCAACAGTAGTCAGTCATCATGACTGCGTCCCAGCGACCCTGATACCTGGTCTCCATCTCTTTCATGTCCTGATGGAATCTCTCCCCCTGCTCGTCACTCATTGAACCCAGGTTCTCAGGAAACCAGTCCATACATGAAAATAGGTAGTGCATCTTGACACTCATGTTGCAGCCCAGGTTTCTGAAAGCAGTCAGCATGTTGTTGACAAGTTCTGCGTAGTTTCTGGCCTTATTGTTGCCAAGAAAGTTCTTCACTACCAGAACAAATGCCTTCCACGCTTCCAGTTCCACTTCGTTCATTGACTTTCTGAACTCTGGATCTCTGATGAGCTGACGGATCTGAGGACCATCAAAGATACCAGCTTTCAACTTCTCCATGGTCAATCCTGGAAGAGCCTGAGACAAGTAAGTGAAGCAGTCACCATCCTTGTCCAGAGCCTTGGTGAACTGCTTGATTAAGCTGAGCTTGATGTGCAGCGGGGGGAAGAGTATTCTGTCTCTGTCCGCCAGAGGGTCGTTGATGACGTTCCTTTCTTTGCAAGGCACTAATTCCTCCCGCACAGGCCAGTCCTTCTTCGTGTAATGCTGAGCACGGTCCCTACTATCCCACATGCACAGAAAACATGGGTACTTGGTGAAGCCAGACTGTTGTCCCAACAAAAAGTTCACCATCTTCAGGTCAACACAAATAAACCACTTATGCGGATCATAACCAATTTTCTCCAGCACATACTTCACCGCTTCATAGTTCTCCTTCAGTGTACTCGAGTGAGCCAGGGGTATAGAGGCAAACTGGTTGCTGTTGTGTAGCAGAACACATTTCAGTGATCGCTTGCTGCTGTCAATGAACAGTCTCCAATCTTTGGGTTCGTACTATGGCACGAAGCTTGAGCAGAAGCTGCGCAATATCTGCACAGTACACCAAGTTCTTCTCTTCCAAGAAAAAACGGAGGTACTCTTGATGCCTGTTGCGGAAGAAGCTGATGCGAGCACTGTCAGAGAGGAGTTTTTTTTCCTTCAATCTGGATGCCAACAGTTCGGCAGAGTCCTTTGACAAGCTGAGGTCGCGAACTAGATCATTCAACTCCTTTGGGGAAAATGGATGTGGAGCATCATCTTCAAGAACCACTTCTTCTTCACGTCCTTCAACACTGGAGGCATCTTTGTCACTAATGTCAGGAAGTTCTCCGAAGATAGGCACTGGAATTTCATCACAATGAGCTACAGGACGACGTGCTGATTGAAGATCAGGATACTTGAGGCTGCTCCGGTTCTTTCTGTTGCTCCCAGCTGCACCAATTTATGGAAGATTTCGAGGTTTTATGACTTCAAACTGATCCCTTTTCGACATAATCACCCAGAACTATCGGACCTGAATACTTCTTGTCATTAAAATAATCATTTCCAATCAAAACAATTATTCGACATGGCATTTTACCCCCACCAACTTCTTCTAAAATGCTCCACACAAGCATAAATGTGAACAAAAATGTAAAAAAATGACATGTGGCCATAGCTCAAAAACTTGACCTGATTGAGCAATACCAATGTGATTTTTGGATTCAGCACATTAGATTTGTCCTAAATCAACTAAAAAAACACAGACAACAAATTTGTTGTTGACCAGTGTAATATGCAAGAATTTCTGAATCAGAACTTCTAGCCTAGTTCACCTGTCACACTAAATCAAGGATGGTTAACCTTTTTTGGCCTCGCAGGCAGAAGGAAGTGATGGCTGAACAGTCACATGTGATTCAGGGACTTAGGAAAAAAGCTTCCCAAGTCCTTCTACCAAGCTGTGCGGGATGAAGAAAGCAGAACATGGAAGCCTGAGGCTCTTGTCAGCTTCCTCCTCCTCATCTTGTTAAACCATGGTTTAGCAAGACATGCAAATCAGGTCTTTTCATCTTTGAAAACTGCCCAGTTAGCAGGAAACAAAGGTAATTAAAATTATGCAAGAGGTAACGGACAACAAATTTACCTCTGAACAAAGAGAAAGGTGTAACTTGTAGACAGACAAACTCCAAAGAAAAACTTTTCTTTCTTACTAAGAAGTTAGGCACACAGTGCTTCTTTTGCTACACTATGTGATCACTGACAGCATATGCTGGAGTCTTGGGCTTTGCTTCAGTACTTTCCAATTTAGAGGTGGTCAAATGTAGAGCAAAGCCCATCAGCAACAGCATCCTCTTCCCAAGGAAGAAAAATAATCAAGTTTTATCAAGCAACATTACAATACACAACATATACCGTATATTATTTTCATATAAAAGAAGCCAGAATCACTGTTGAGCCACGTTTAAAGCAAGTGGTAATTAAAGAGTAAAAACAAGCCATTGGGCACTTCCTCCAGTTATTACATGGCATTTGTTACGTGGATTTTATTATTTTCAATAACTATATACAGTTGCTTTTTGAAATGTAGCCTTCTGTAACTTCCACTGCCACCTCCCAAATGTCTTCTCCAAAGAACTGCATGTCATTAGTTTCTCATTAAATTTTTCTACTCTCTGTGGCTCAATGAATTCTTTCCCAGCTAGCCTCCAACGCTACTCTGTCCACAGGTGTTCTTCTTTCACATGAATATCCTCTCCCTTTTACAATTTTGAAAACATGCATCATTTTGCAAGCGTGCTGTTCCTCAATATGTTCAGGGGGATTCAGGCTTTGCTGGTATCTTTTTGTGGGTTTATTTCCAAAACCATCAAGACATTCAACAAACACAAACATTTGTTTGGAATTAGGTTCCTCTGGATAAGCAATTATTGACTTCTAAATCGTACACAGGATCAGGTTACGTGAAATTTCCCAACTGTCCCTTGTAATTCCAATTTAATCTTAAAGGGAACTGTTGAGAGACAGTGGCCCTTATACTCGACAGAGAAAACCAAACCATCCTTTAACTCCCCCACAGGCTGCAGCAACTTTGCCTGAAACTTTCATCTGAAAGCAAAGCGTGGGGTCAGAGGAGCACGCAGAATATTCCTCAAGTCTGGGGGCTGCTTGACAACAAGAGGCCTTTCGCGCAGCAACGCGGCGCCAGAGTCAGGCTCGGAAGAAGGACCTGGCCGGAGGGCCGGGAAGCAGCGCGGCAGGCGCCAGGGGCTTCCCCGGCCCCGAGCAATGGGCGCCCACCTCTGGGATGAAGGAGGAAGCCTTTTGCCTCCTTCCAAAATGGAGGAGGAGGAGGAGGAGGAGAGGCTGCAAAGGGGCCGCCAAGCCCGGCCACTCGCTTCCCGCTTCGGAGGAAGCCCCTCCCGCTTCCCAGGTGGGGCGATCCCTCCGGCTCGGAATGCGGGGGGGGGGCTGGCTGTGAAGCCCCTTGGGCGGCAGCAGCAACCCCGGGAGGGGAGCCCTGTCCCCCCCCCATTATACCCGGAGTGCGAGGCAAGCCGCCCTCTCTCTCACGCCGCCAGTCCCTGGTGAGGAAGGGAAGGCGGGGCGGGGGGGGAGCAGGACCCGCCATTTCCATGAGGCGCCCCTCCCCCCCCCCGCCGCCTCAGGGACGCCCCTTACCCATGCTGCGCGGACCCGGCCGGGCGGAGGCAGCGCGCCGCGCCGCTCGGAGCCCCTCGCCCGGTGCCCGACGCCGCTCAGGCCGGACGCGGCGGGTCGCGAGGCGAGATTGGCCGCCGCCAGGAAGCGAGGGAGGGAAGCCCGGCAGGCCCCGCCGCCGCCGCCTCCGCCCTCCTGGGCGCCGCCTCCTCGCCCGGCCGGCGCCGCCCCGACCCGACCCGCCGGGCCAGGCCGCGCCGGAGACGGGCCGGGCCGGGGCTCGCGGGGGCCGCCAGGCCGACGGAGGGGAGCCGCACCACGAAAGGGAGAAGGCGGCGGTGCGGCGCGGACCCCCCCCCTCCCGCCGAGAGGCCCCAGGTCCGCGGCCTCATTGGCATCAGCGAGCCAGGTAGAAGTCGCCAATGTCTCCTCCTTTTTGCTCTTCACGCAGTAACTTATTAAAGGCACATTGAAATACAGTATAGATTAGAAATATGCAAAGACTGGAAGTGTTACTTCATATGAAGTGTTTGAACTGGGAGACAATAAATAAACTAATACAGTAGTTTGTGAGGGATAAATGATTCCAAGCTATGCATATTAACTTTCTCATTAGAGGGTTAAAAAATGCAGCTGTTTCCACAGCAAGACAAGGGGAAGGAAAGTCTCCCTCCATAATTTTGCTTCGAGGATTGCTCAAAACCTCTTTAATATTAAAAATACACAAGCCCAGGCTTTACAAAGTCCATTCAAAAGCAGAAGTGGATGTGTTGGGTTCCCCTCCCAAAATATCTGGGCAGAAAACATGACCCACCAAAGGGGGGGAAAATCAAAGGTGACAAATCAAGCAATTCAGGTTATTTTCCCGTAGGAAGGTGGGTGCCTCACGTTTCCAGGCCTTGTGGTGTACAAAATAAATGGATGCCAAACCACACAATGCCTTTAAGGTGTTGATTTACCTCTTAGTAGTCCAGAAATTATTGGTTAACTCCTCCAGAAGGGCAAAGGTCCCAAGCTCTTGCACGGACTGCCTCCTGTCTGTCTGCCTCCTTCCAATGGTGTGAAATTGTAAGATGGGCAGCCATTGACATAAAGTTTATCAAGTTACCGTTTTTGTCCATAAAAATGAAAGATGAGCATAGTTCAGGAGCTCCATTTACAGGTAGACCTCACTCAGCAGAGGCTCAGGTGGTACCCACTGCTGGCTGTTCCCACCAGAAGCAGCAGGGTTCCTCCAAACCCACATTCCCTCCAGCCCAGCTGAGAGCTGGGTCCCATTATTCTGCAAAGACACACGGGTGTGTTGTGCTAGCACCAGAAGATTTTAACCACATTTGCTTGAATTCTAGCAGATCTAGAATGGAGGTGGTTGCCCGTGCCACAGCCTGTTCCCATTTATTTCCCTGTATCTTGTTCCCGCTTCATTTGATTGCTCCAAAGTCTGTTCACTCTCATTTTGAAGAGCGACTAGAAGCTCTGCATGGTCTCAGCAGACTTGTGCCTTGAAGGAAAACTCTGCTCTCTTTCACCTGGAGCCATCCTGCCATCTTCCACAGACCATTCTGGGCAGCTATGCTGTAGCCTTTCCTCAATATAATTGTCCTGGTTTTCTTCCCAGGAAGGAGCACCGTGTGCCATCATCTTCAACTAGGAAGCAGAAGCCCCATTTCTAAGGCAGTTTGGCTTCATGAAGTTAGAGACATCATCTGCTGAGACCAGCAATGTTCAGTGTCAAGGTTTCAGAGCTCACATCCTGCAATGCCAGTAGAGCTGAACCATGGGCGGTTGAGTTTTGACAGTCATAGGCTGCCTGTGCCAGTTTGTATTTGACACTGAACCTCTCAAAGGAAATGATAGCAACTCTGGGCCTGGGGGTAGAGAAGGATGTAGCCTAAGGCCCTTTATGCTCTTTCCAGATCTGAAGCCTTAGTAACCAGGTTCAAAAAAATTGCCACCGTTTTGAGAGCATTTTAGCAGCTCACAGAAATGCACCCTACCTTTCTGAAGGAAACTTTCAACTCTTGTTGGCATACCTTTTGAGCAGAAGACAAGCAGGCTGGCCTCTTATGGCACTTAAAGGGTAATACAGAAATCACGCTGGAGTAATCCAAAGGGCAGGGGAAATGGGCAGATGGGCAATTTTTTAATTTCATGTAGCCTTTTCTCCACCCATATTTATTGGTCAAAGCGGGGGGGGGCAGCTTTAATAAAATATTGGGGGCCCCACTCTGCATAATCGATAACATGATGCAGTGCACGGACACCATTTGAACAGCAATGCCCATCATCTTGTTTGGCAGCCCCCTCAAATATTTTAAGGGGGGGAGGCTAAAGGGACCTCAGCCCTTAGAAGTTGGCTCCTGTATATGAAGGGAACACCACACTTTTTTTATATAGAGTACAAAGCTGTTACTCTTAAAATTCTACAAGGAAGGCTCAAGCAGTATGTGGACCGAGAACTCCCAGAAGTGCAAGCTGGATTTAGAAGAGGCAGAGGAACCAGAGACCAAATTGCAAACATGTGCTGGATTATGGAGAAAGCTAGAGAGTTCCAGAAAGACATCTACTTCTGCTTCATTGACTATGCAAAAGCCTTTGACTGTGTCGACCACAGCAAACTATGGCAAGTTCTTAAAGAAATGGGAGTGCCTGATCACCTCATCTGTCTCCTGAGAAATCTCTATGTGGGACAAGAAGAAACAATTAGAAATGGATATGGAACAACTGATTGGTTCAAAATTGGGAAAGGAGTACGACAAGGCTATATATTGTCTCCCTGCTTATTTAACTTATATGCAGAATTCATCATGTGAAAGGCTGGGCTGGATGAATTCCTAGCCGGAATTAAGATTGCTGGAAGAAATATCAACAACCTCAGATATGCATATGACACAACCTTGGTGGCAGAAAGTGAGGAGGAATTAAAGAACCTTTTAATGAGGGTGAAAGAGGAGAGTGCAAAATATGGTCTGAAGCTCAACATCAAAAAAACGAAGATCATGGCCCCTGGTCCCATCACCTCCTGGCAAATAGAAGGGGAAGAAATGGAGGCAGTGAAAGATTTTACTTCCTTGGGCTCCATGATCACTGCAGATGGTGACAGCAGCCACAAAATTAAAAGACGCCTGCTTCTTGGGAGAAAAGCAATGACAAACCTAGACAGCATCTTAAAAAGCAGAGACATCACCTTGCCAACAAAGTCCGTATAGTTAAAGCTATGGTTTTCCCAGTAGTGATGTATGGAAGTGAGAGCTGGACCATAAAGAAGGCTGATCACCGAAGGATAGATGCTTTTGAATTATGGTGCTGGAGGAGACTCTTGAGAGTCCCATGGACTGCAAGAAGATCAAACCTATCCGTTCTTAAGGAAATCAGCCCTGAGTGCTCACTGGAAGGACAGATTCTGAAGCTGAGACTCCAATATTTTGGCCACCTCATGAGAAGAGAAGACTCCCTGGAAAAGACCCTGATGTTGGGAAAGATGGAGGGTACAAGGAGAAGGGGACGACAGAGGACGAGATGGTTGGACAGTGTTCTCGAAGCTACCAGCATGAGATTGACCAAACTGCGGGAGGCAGTGGAAGACAGGAGTGCCTGGCCTGCTCTGGTCCAGGGGGTCATGAAGAGTCGGACACCACTAAACGACTAAACAACAACAAAGCTGTTCCTTTAATCCCCATTTTGGGATCCCAGAACTTTAGCAGCCTCCATTTGTTTAAGAGAATTAATAGGAACAAGTTAATCAAAAGATGTAGAACTGGTCGTGCAGTTAATTATTATACACAGGAAGGTGGGGTTTTCCTTGCATTGTTCAAAGCAAATATTTTTCTCCACAAGGAAATGCGATGAGATGTTGGTTATTAAGTGTTTGCCGCCACCTCCTCAGCTGTACTCAGGTTCAAGATAATCTCTAGAGCTTTAGTGTAGCAAGTTTTTGGAAATGTTTGAGGAATGATAGCTGACAGCTTTGGAGCCTTTAATCTTCAGCCCCCCAACCACACTCTTGACATCTAAATGGTGAATTTTTCAGCATCCTTGTCCATTGGGTGACACTCCTGAGATGTAAATAGGCACAGGAGACATACAAGACTCAAAAGTAGAAGCCTCTGACTGAAGGTCATTTCAGCTCTTTAAAATATGGCGAGTTGAGGACATGTTCAGTCGCTTCCAGTGAGAGGCTTGCTGGTGCGTTCCTGAAGACTGCCATAGCCTGTAAGAATGTTTGTGGTTTCTGGGCTGCTATTGCCACCTAGGGGTACTGTAAGAAATAAAACAAGTCACAGTGTTCTCATTTAGTAGTGCAATTTCTAGCTAAACCGTTACCAGTCCTAGACCACTTCATTTTGACAGCTTTATTATATTGAGTAGTTTGCTTGTTTCCTTACATGTTTCTATCCTACTTTTCTTTATTGAAAAACAAAAACAAAGCAGCATACTAGATTTCCAAAACACACACAACAATCCAAAATCACTAAAAACTGTACCTATGATTAATATTAAATATCACTCAAAAGCATTAAATTACAGCACTCCTGATTTTAAAAGAGAGGGAGCAACTAACCCCTGTCAAAAAGGCCTTGTCTTGTGTCCCAGCCAATCAGTAGTTGTTGGCACCTGTCTCAAGAGACAATGGAGTGTGCCTCTGGAGGCGAAGTCAAACTGCTGCTACTTCAGCAGCACTGAAGTGACCTCCTCAGCGTGCGAGCCTAGCCAGTGTGTCTGGAGGTCCTGGGCTGCCCAGACAAGACCCCCCTCTCAGCCTCCCTGATGGGGTCCAAAGTAGAGCAGAGCAATATTTTTGGCAGCAGCGCATGCAGAAACTGCCTTTTTGGCCATTGGATCCACTATTGGTCTCATCCACTCAATCCACCGGAGCCTGTCCATAACTCACTGAGGGTTTGAGACCCATCGGCTGCCCTCTCCTGGTTTAGCCGGCCAGTCAAAGCCGTTTCCCAGAGTGTGGCTGCTGTCGCAGGCTAACAGCTTCTAGGAGCCACAGGTGAGAGCTGAGTGCAGTCGGGGGACATTTCTAAATTTGTTTTATAACCCCCAAACCTCCCAAAAAGATTTATAAGCATCTCAGTTTGCCTAATGACTAAATTCCTTTTATGTGCTTTATCTCTCACTGGGTTAATAGAAAATTAGGAAAGGTGTTAAGTTTCACAACTTATTTGCAATTACCATTGTGAACATTTCTTTAAGCCAGTGGTTCCCAATTAGCTAATTACTGAGGACCCCCAATTTTTCAAAAGCCAATCCAACCCCTACTTTTGAAAAAAAATTGATAACTCTATGGTGGTTACCTCTGCAAAGCAATTTTTTGAAAATGTGGGGTAGCCCCTGATAAGCAAAGGATTTTAGGTATACAGTGGTACCTTGGTTCTCAAACACCTTGGTTCTCAAATGCCTTGGTTCTCAAACACCGAAAACCTGGAACTAAGTGCTCTGGTTTTCAAATGATTTTCGGAAGCTGAACTTCTGATGCGGCTGTCAGCTATTGTTTCCGGGGCATCTGCACCAATCAGAAGCTGCACCTTGGTTTTCGAACATTTCGGAAGTCAAACAGACTTATGGAACAGATTACGTTTGGTGCTTTTGTTTTTGCTATTTATTTTGCATTTTTGTTTTTGAGGCTTTTTCAGTTAATTTGTTTTTGTGACTGTGTGGAAACCAGTTCAGCTACTGATTGATTGATTGATTGATTGATTGTGCGACTGCGGAAATGGATAAAAGCCCCCATCTAAACAGTGACTATCATCAGTGCAGCTAAGAAAAAAAATTAATATTAATTTTTATCATCTACAATACTGTCTTATTTATTTTATAATACAGTACATTGATTATTGCTTTCATTTTATGGATCAAAGGTCTCGTTAGATAGTAAAATTCATGTTAAATTGCTGTTTTAGAGGTTGTTTTTAAAAGTCTGGAACGGATTAATCTGTTTTGCATTACTTTCTATGGGAAAGCACGCCTTGGTTTTGGAACGGACTTGCAGAACGGATTGAGAACCGAGGTACCACTGTACTAGAAAACAGACTAGGGCTGATTGATATCTGGTTTTCAACATTGTGATGTATTAGCAGCTAAACATTGCAATATTCCAATATATCATGATGTCTGAAATTGGAGATCAGGTGTGGGGATGAGGGAAGGAGCAGTCACGGAGATTAGATGGGTGGGGGAGCCCCACTGCATGCTTTGAGTGGGAGGAGGTGGGGTGGGGTGGGGGTGCATCAAGTCAGCGGGGCAGCCAGCGAAGATGCCCGTCCACTGGGGATGCTGTTGCTTTCCTGCTGACTGAAGTGAGGGCGACCTGTTTTCCCTCACCCTGAGGGAAGGCTGCAGCTTATCGGCTGCCCTCATCGCCCTTCGTTTGATATCAATGGTGCCCTGAAATCGGCTGCCTTGCTCTCCCTCACACAAGGAGCAATATATTGCTGCGTATTGCCGGGTCAAAATCGTTATCGCGACGTGATTTCAAAACCAATTTTGGTCAATGTATTGAAAAATCTCACAGCGTTAAAACAGAGAATAAAACTTGTGATATCACCATGCAAAATGACAAAAAATTAGTTGGGGGAGGCAAGAGATGGAGCTGCAGACCCCCTGTGGTCCCTGGACCCCCAAATTGGGAACCATGGCCTTAAGCAATAACTTGCGTTGACTGCTCTTTAAATTAACTCACAGTTCCCAAGTTGAAACAATAAGCTTTTTACAGTTTACGCTTACAGTTTCGGATAAATTTATCAACAGCAACTTAGAACATGTAGAACCATCTCTCCCCAACAGACAATAAACTATTGTAGGTGTGAAGCAATCTCCCATTTCGAAAAACAACAGCAAGACTTTGATTGGGCAATGAAGAATAGGCTTTGTTTAAGAGAAACAGTCAAATACGGTAAGCCCCAAACCAAGCATATCCTAAAACACCTGGTTTAGGAAGTCAAAGGCGGCACCAGTTTTTTGCGCCAAAAATTATCCCGATCCTACTCCTACGCCCCCTCCCCCTCCCGCTAAGGTTACCAGATTTTTTTTCAATGAATCCGGGGTCACTTTTCAACTTGATGGATTTTGTATGGGGCTGATTTGTAAATCCGGGAACTGTCCCGGGAAACGGGGGCGCCTGGTCCCCTTCCTCTTGCTCCCTCCCCAGGGATCTGGAAAAGCGTTTCGCGGCTCTTCCTCTCCCGCAGCCCAGGTTCCCCCCCCCACCCCCGGGGGGCAGTTCCGGCCCTGACGCCGCAGGAAGGCGATTGTGTGGCGTCCGCGGCGCGGGCGGGGCTTCTGCGGAGTGACGTCATGGGAGGGCGAAGCCCCGCCTCCGCCGCTCCCCGCCCATTCCGCGGCAGCAGCAGCAGCAGCAGCAGCAGCAGGAGCCGGCCGCGCGGCGAGCGAGGCGTCGTGGCCTCGGCTGGGTCGCTATGGGAAGCCGGCCGCGCCCGCCAGCCCCGCGCCCGCCGCCGCCGCCCCCGCCCGCCCCGCCGCAGCCGCCCTCGGAGGCGGCCTCTCGCTGAGGCCCCGCGCGCTCCCTCCGCGGGCCATGCGCCTCCCGGGGCTCTGCTAGCGGCCTCCATGGGCGCCTAGAGGACCCCCGCCCGCCCTCCGCCCTCCGCCATGGGCGCCCCCGGAGCCGCCCTCGTGGCCAGCCTCGTCGCGGTGAGTGGGGCGGGGAGGGCAGAGGCCGCGGAGGGAGATGGAGCGGGGCCGGAGGGAGGCAGCTGCGCTCTTGCGGCAAGCCAGACCTCCGCCAAGGAGCCCGGGAGCGGGGCATAGTCCTCCGGCGCATAAGGGAGCACCGTGCGGGCAGCCTTCGGGGGCGGCTGGAAGTCCCGCTGGGAAGCTGCTGCTGGGGTTGGAAGAGAGGAGCTTCTCCCGGTTCGGGCTGACGTGGGTCGCTTGCTGACCGGGGCCCTGGATCCTGCCATCCGCTGTCTCATAGTCCAGGCGCCAAGGAACTGGATTTATTCTGACCCTGTCGAGTACTGTTACAGCAGAACACTTTCATGTTTAGTACATTTATATCCCACCTTTCCTTCAAGGAACTCAAGGCAGCAGCATGCAGGGTTCTCCCCCCCCCCCAATTATCTCTGCCCCCCAAACCCTGTGAAGCAGGCGGGGCTGACGGAATGGCACTGTCACAGACTGTATCTTGGCAGAGCGGGGAGTTGAAGCCGGGGCTCTCCATTCTTCATGGGGTGCCCCTAGCCACCACACAACTTGGAATGGTATTTTTTCTGGGTATATTGAAAGCATAAGTGTTTGGGGTTCCACATGTATATCTTTGCAACTGAATCCCTCTGTAATGTGTGTGTACAACTTGTGCAAATTTTGATTGTGTGCAAATAGTAATCCTGAAAGTCCAGCAAAAAGAATTGAAACTGCCATCAGGATACACTGTTTGTACAAAAGCTTTTTTAAAAATAGCAAACAATCTTCTTGGGGTTTTCCTGACCAACAGGCAGAGCCTTTCTGAAGTCCGATTTATCCTTTGCATGGTTCTTGCCACCATGCTATCATTCATTTTAATCTTGCGTGCGTAGAAAAATGACTATTTTATTGTGATAGATGCTGGGGCATAGATTTGTTACATTTTCTCCCATTCTTTGAAAACAGTCTGGTTATCAAAATCTCCAGCATGAGTCTTAAAAGGAAACAACAACAACAAATCAGTGGTTTTGCAGAAGTGGAGGATGAGTGCCCTGGTGGAACTGTATCCATTGTGTGCTCATTCTGGAAGTGGGGGGGGGGGGGACACCCAAGCTGAAAAGCAAAAAATGATGGGGAAATGGCAAGCACTCCCACTGCACCCACCCCCAGCCGTGGTTGTGATTGTGCTTATCTCCGTTTTCTGTCAGGGTGAGATTAGCTGATGCAGGGGTGGCCAGCTTTGAGTAAATTTCCCTTTCCATTAAGCTAGTGGGGAGGAGCTTCCCCTGCCACTTGGGAGCTGGCGTGTGCCTGGCGGTTTGCAGGGCCAGCCATTGTGCTGGCCTGTCTGCCATGCCATGGGCTGCTCCAGCGGCAGACCTTCGAAGTCAACTTAACTGGCTTAGCAGGGGAAATGAGCCCAGGTTTCTCCTACCCGAGTGCAGCAATCTGTACTCAAGGAGGTGGGGGCAGAACATCTCCTGGGATCGAGTGGTAGATCCCAGGACCATTTGCCTAAAAGATATCCTTGCTGCTGTGATCACGCCCCCTCAACTCAGGCCCCTGGGAGATGGAGTGGCTCCAGAAAACACTCTTAAGGGGTTGTGGTTGTTACTGGAGAAGAAGGTAAGAAGGCAGGCCATCTGTGGGGCAGGATGAAGTGAATATCTGGGGTGGAAGCATTTTGTACTGGGGAGAGATTGGAGAGAGAAGAGGAAATGTTATAAGGCCGCTTCCTATGTTCCTTTCTGCAGTCGAAAAGCTTTTGTAACTCTGCTTCATCAAGGGCTCCCTATTAAATTTCCATCTCAGTGGGTTTCCACAGTCTTTCCTGCCCTGCCTGAGAAGCCATGTCTGGGCAACCATTAATCAGAATATTAACCCTGACAGAATATTAACCCTGGGCCACTCCCCATTTCTCAACTATAAGTACATTACATCTTTATTGGGCCTTGACGACAAAAGCAACAAAATGACCTTCCATTGTTGGTACAGAAATTCTACTCTTAAATCTCTAGAAATCTCCAGTGCAGTCGCGTTGCTGCTAGGATGTGAACAGCCCTGTGGCCATTTATTTGATAGACTTGTAGGTTTTAAATTTCACAGGCAGTTGTGGTAGTTTAGTATTTAGGGCCGAATCTTATTTGGGAAGATATAATGGAAACAGTTCTTTGCTCTTCCGGTGACCATCGTGCTCAAAATGCTGCACACCCAAAATTACCGTCACTTGGTTGACTGCTAAGAGTTCAACAAAAGTGTTAACCACCTGCATGTGCAGGCTAACTGCAGCTGATCCCAACAAGAGCAAGAATGCAGGATAATAGTCTTGAAGGGCACTTAATTCCAGTTGCTATAACCATGTGGAGTGGACTTAAACTTTGGAGCCCTGAAAACTGAGCCAGTTTAATTTAGCAACTCTGTTTTGTTACCTACTGGCGAAAATCTTACATTGCAAAGTATGATTTCAAAATAGATTTGATTTTTTTAAATTGACACCTCTTCAGAGATCTATTTTATTATGCCAGCATTAAATCTGATGTGCTGGCATTGGGGCTTCTCCTGACCCCCACCCCTAGCTGATGCTCATATGGGGGGGCATGGGGAAGGAAAAGGAAAAGGGGGGAAGGCCCCATCGTACTAGCAGAAGTCTTTCTGCAGGCTTCTGCAAACAGGACTCATTGGTTGAATCCAGTGCACAATAAAATGGATATTTGAATCAACAGTCATTAGTGACTAATTCATGGAGATAATAGAATAATAGAACTGTAGAGTTGGAAGGGATCCCTAAGGGCCATCTAGTCCAACCCCCTGCAATGCAGGAATCACAGCTGCTGAATCCCTGGTAGATGGCCATCCACCCTCAGCTTAAAAACCTCCAAGGAAGGAGAGTCCACTACCTTCCAAGGGAGTCCGCTGCTTACTATAGCCTGCATAGCCATTTTAATGCCCTTCCTTCTAGTTGGGAGAGATGGGTTTAGAGCTCTTTCCTACCTCATTTAGTTGTGTGTGTGTGTCTCCTCCCCCGAATTATTTGATGTCACCGGCAAGCTTGACCACCCTGCTGTTCACCCCCTTAATGCTAGATAATTTATAAACAAGCTAAAAAGCACTGGCGCCAATATAAATCCCCCCCTCCACACTGATTACATCCCTCTATTAGGAAAGTTGTCAATTAATTCCCAGTCTTTGCTTCCTCTGTTTTAGCCCGTTTCCAATCTATAAGAGGACTTCCTCTCTTACCCCATGTGTCTTTGCTGAGAAACTTTATCTAACACTTTTTGAAAGTCCAAGTATACTGTGTCTTTCCGCTCTCTTGGATCATTCCTTTCCATGTGTTTGTTGACCCTGTCACAGAACTGAATGATTCTTTCACCAGTTTACCCAGAAATTATGCTAACAGGCCTGTAACTTCCTGGATCCTTTTTCCATTGGCTGCTTAATGTTCTCTGGCAGATGAGGCTGTTTTAGGGCTACAGGAGGAGGACAACCGTTCCGGGATGGGGGCAGCTCAAAGGGTCAAAGGCAGCTTCTCCTCGGAGAGTCTTCTGCCAGTCCTCTGCCAGAGGCTTTCCAAAAGGCAATTCAGAGGGAATGGGTTACACCTGCCTGTAAGAAAGAACCCCACAGGGTCTATACGTGTCTGTCAGGATGCTATGGAAAATCTTTAAAGTGCCATTAGTAGACATTTTGTTGGCAGCTTTTTAGCAGCTTGCGTATTTCTCCCTTCAGAAGCTGATGACCTGCCTAGAGATCAGGGCAGCAAACTTTGGCTCATGGATTGGTAGATGGGCAAAAACTCTTCCAGGCCGTGAGCCGAGCATGTCTTTCAAATGCAGTTACCTAAATAGAGTAAAGCTGATACGGCTTGCTGTGACCTGCCTTATGGTCTGTAGCTAACTTACATTTATCTCTGTGTTTCAGGGATTTATGTTCCTTGGTACCACTGATGCTCAGTCAAAGCTGACATCTGAACAGAATGCCATAAGCCTCTCTTCTGGCACATACAGCCATTTGGATCGTGCCACTAACACAAAGCTGACTTGTGACAAATGTCCCGCAGGAACCTATGTGTCTAAGCACTGCACAACGACCAGCTTAAGAGAGTGCAGCCCATGCGCCAGTGGAACATTTACAAAGCATGAAAATGGGATAGAGAGATGCCATCCATGTAAAAAGCTGTGTGAGCCGCCGATGGTTGAGAAAACCCCTTGCACTGCTTTGACGGACCGTGAGTGCATCTGTCCGCCTGGTAAATTTCGAGACGGTGATGCTTGCAAATCTTACTCCGTGTGCCGCGTTGGGTGGGGCCTAAAAAAGAAAGGAACTGAAACAGAAGATGTCAAGTGTAAACCTTGCCCTCGTGGCAGCTTCTCTGATGTGCCTTCTAGCATGCTGAGATGCAAAACATTCACTGACTGCTCACGAGCAAACATGGTTGTGATCAAACCAGGGACAAAAGAGAGAGACAACACTTGTGGACTTTCACCAGCTTTTCTGACTGGAGCTGGGCTTTTGTCAGGACCAGAAGAGGGTGGAGAACATTACAAAGTTCCTTCTACTTTTCTTTCCAAAGGTAAGTGAACAGCATTGCCAAACGTCTGTAGCTAGGGCATACAAGATTGGGCAAGAAGTATGGTATGTTACATTTTTGTATACAGTATATTTATATCTTTTTTATTATACACATCTTTGTTGTCGTCCCCCATCCCCTCACTTCCCCCTCTTTTTTCTCTGTATCACTTTTTCTTTAGAATTGAAATTCTTTCAATAAAATATTAATATTAATTTTAAAAAAATTAAGTGTGCTTTTCTGAGAAAGGAGCTGGTAAGGCGTTAGCTGTGTTTTGGAATGCCTTCTGTACAGAGGCACTTCCAGCTGATGCATTACATGGTATTAGAGACCCTTTACCCAGCTGCCAAGCGGTGCAATTATCTCTTGGGTCAGCTCCACACTGGTCAGGGTCTATTTCTGCCCTGGTGGTGGTTCTGTGTTTAGCACAGCATGCCATGACTTTTCTGAGCAGTCTGAAGCCATGGAGATGGGAGAGGCTTTTATCTTGTAATCCTCCTATGCCTGCATCCCTCACAGGGACTCTCATGGAACTTCGTGGGACTTCTGGGTAGATATGCCTAGGATTATATCAAATAAGATCTTCTTTTATCCCAAACGCTTCAGACTAGCGCCATCCTGTTCATGATTCTGTTGCTTTGCAGCAGTCAGGAGAGTAGGTGCTGATTGATTTGAATGGTGGCTTGTTCCATTTTGTTTTGCAATTTATATATTGTTATGTAAACACCTCCATGGACACACAGGTGGACATCCCTCCTTTGGATACAATCCAAACTGCAACCTTAGTAGCTCTTGCATAGCAAGGGTTGTGGAATCAGTTTGTACTCAGTGTCCATTCACTGTTATGGATCAAAACACCATTACTGCAAATGTTTGCCATAGCATAAAAATCATAATTGGAATAATTTTATGATCTAAGTCTATATGTGCTATTTCTTTAGAATGAACTAAAAACTGGGTTGACATGCAATTGGAATATTCCCAATGTTCATCAGATACCTCCAGCCCTTTTCAATACATAAACTATTGTATTGGTGGGATAAAATGTATTTTTGTTAACTTTCTGGCTGACATAATGTAGCAACAGCTAATCTTAGTACAGTGGTACCTCGGGTTGCATACGCTTCAGGTTACAGACTCCGCTAACCCAGAAATAGTACCTCGGGTTAAGAATTTTGCTTCAGGATGAGAACAGAAATCGTGCTCTGGCCGCGCGACGGCAGCAGGAGGCCCCATGAGCTAAAGTGGTGCTTCAGGTTAAGGACAGTTTCAGGTTAAGAACAGACCTCCGGAACGAATTAAGTACTTAACCCGAGGTACCACTGTATTAATAAAGCTACTGATCAGTTTCGCTGAAACTTACCAGAAAAATAATAAATCAAGATAACAAACTTTTAATAAAAGAATGGAAATGGTTTATTGAATATCTACAAACTGTAAACGGATAAGAACATTGGGTGGATTATTGTAATAACCTGTAGTTTTATAAGAGTATATATTTGAAATACATGAATAACTTAAGTTAATTTAGAATATGCAGGAAATGTAAAAAATAAATTTAAGGAACCGCAGAAAGAGGAGGAAGTAAGTCAGGGACTTTAAAATGGCTTCAGTGGATCCATCGTATTACTCAGATGTAGCTATTGAAGTCGGATCTGATTGTGGTAACAAAGTATTGTATCAAAAATATGAGGGACTGAATCAAGGTTGTTAAAGTAAGATCCTGGTTCATTGCTGTGCGATACATTATGACAAAGCATGGCTGCCAAACTGAAAGAGGCGAAGCAACAGACGTGGCCGGACTTGAGCCAATATATTCTCTTGGTCTCAGCATAGCATGTTTAGAAAACTTAATTCATTTCTGACACTTTTTCTTTGTAATGAACTATCAATGGCTTTCACCATAAAATCTGGTCATGCCTAATCTAGAACAAGGAGAAAAAGCATGCTTAATGTCATGTGCATGTTTGATTATTTTTGCAAGTTTGGGATCCCTGCAAAACAATGGCTACACTTTGTTAGAATGATGAGCAAGGTGTTGGTTTGATTTTTGCTGTTTAGTTTTGGTGTTGTAAACATTTTTGAATATTGCAAAACTTAACTGAAAGCTTAATTGTGCCTGTGACATTTGAGGCTTTATTTATAGCCTTCCCCCCACTTTTAGATCATCAAAGCAGCTTGCAAACTTGTTTGGAAAAAAATGTTCAGAATCTCATCAGGGACAGGCTTCCACATACAGACCTTCTATCCTAGAACTATCTCCCTTGCCCTTTGCAATTATTCGCAACCTCTTCAGTCTGGCTGTCTTGGCCTCCAGCAGTCGAGCAACAGAGCACCCCTTTCCCAGAAGCGCATTCCCTATTAAACAAAATTTGGGGCTGTTGTTGATACCAATGTATGGGTCATGAGGTTCAACTTGCTCCTTCCACCCAGTTCTTCCTGTGGATGCTGTTATATGTATATTTGTTTGCACTCACATAACATAAATGAGAACCCCCTTTGTAAGTCCTCTAGGAATCAATTGTACTTAAAGGGCATTTGGGCCAGAGCTACAGTAAGAGTGGGTAGGTTCTATACCTGCTGCTCTAACATCGCATTTGTTTTTCAGGTGTGAATGCTTCGGTTTCCAATTTTTCTGCCACCCCTACCCCAAATGTGTCCGTTGACATGGTGGAGCCAACCAACAGCTACAATGGGACTTCAAAGAATGAGACTGTAGTTGTCAACGTGACTGATACGGGATATGCTACGCCTTTGAATCACCAGCAAACCTATTACCATAAGCACGCCCCTCCCATCCTGAAAATACAGCCAGTGCTGGAAATGAGTGGCAGTGTGAAATCCAGCATTCCCTACAACCCCCCCAAGAGAGGCTCTCCAAGGCAGGCTGCCCACAGGCATTTTGATATCAATGAGCACCTGCCCTGGATGATCGTGCTGCTGCTGCTGCTTGTGCTGGTGGTGATCGTTGTGTGCAGTGTCCGTAAAAGTTCTCGAACTCTAAAGAAAGGACCAAGGCAGGATCCCAGTGCCATTGTCGAAAAGTCCGTTTCGAGAAAATCTTCCACTCTGACTCAGAACAGGGAGAAATGGATCTACTACTGCAATGGACACGGTGAGTGATGTCGAGCAAATTCCACAAATGAAACCTAGAGAATTCTGTTCATAACTGAAATTGTTCATCCTGTTTAACTTAAAACAAGAGTTTTGCAGCACATTAAAGACCATGCTATTGAAGCTGGCATTTTTCAGTTGGGGAAAAACAGCTTTGTGACAAGATGGGATGGCAGCTTGGAGTAGGAAAACAAGCGATGGGGATAGGATCTTTCCCACCTCCACCTGCCCCAGAACTAGAGATTGAAATCTCCCATGGCTACTTTTTGGAAAGAAGTATGGCCATTCCGAAACAGCAGCTTAAAAGTTGCCTCTGGTTTGATCCTAAACTTAAAGCACTATGGAAGTGGAATGGCGTGCCTTGACGAGCTTTGTATTCGTAAAAGCTGTTTGCTATTAACTCCTGAGCGTCTGTGATGTGGCAATTATCTCAAAATGGCTCAGCAGGTTAAAGCAAATGCTGATGTGGTCCATTTCTCTTGCGTGTTTGCTGGCTTATCTGCCTGTGTCTGTGCCAGGTGTATTCTTGCATTACTTAAGGCACGGTTCTTCAAATAGTTCCTATAAGGATACTAGTATAAATGCATAACATTTCCATTGTCTTCAGCAGAGAATAAAGTGAGAAAGCCCAGAATGGCTATCATAATACTGTTGATAGATCAGTCAGCTGAAAAATGTATGCAGGCTTCCAAGTTAGTTTTCTTATTCAGCAGAATAGAAATATGCTCAAGGTTGTGGAGAGTCCTCAGGACTACTTTGAATTACTGTCTTCAGAGATGGCTAAGCCCCAGTTCAGGGACCCAATCTGCCCCCTTCCCAGGAAAAAGAAATAAAGTAGGCTGTGCTGGGGTGAGCAGAGGCCAGTGCCTGCTGCGCAACTGGGACTTGCACAGTTGGGTGGAGATCAGCTGAAGAGAGAGGGCTTATTTGGCTTGTGGGGGGTGGTTGCCCTCATTTCTGGCTACCCCAGCTGTGTGCATTGTACCCTGCAATGCTGGCAAAGGTAAAATTTAGCTCTTGGGTCAGGAAAGGTTAGCCAGCCCTCCATTAAACTATGCCACAATTTTATGGACCCCTCAGCAGGTTTAATCTTCCTCAAAAATATATTCTGCTACAAAACTTAAATACAGAATCAGTGATTATACATCACAGATGGTTTTAAGACTTCCACCGCTTTTATATATTTGCAGCAGGAGCTCCAGAGAGAGAGAGAAGCTATGCTCCTGGCCTTTTCCCCCCTGTGATACCCCACCATTGCCTTTAATTTTAGTCTTGCCCACAGTTGGCATGTGACCCCACCCAAAAACCCTAAGAGGATGTGCCTTTTGACAAAAACCGAGGTGGAAATCTATCTAATGTCTTCCTTTCTTTCTAAAATTTATAATAAGAAAATTCTACCTCTAGCACACTTTTGTGCCCCCTTTGGCAGGCCCACTTGCAGCTTTGCCCCCCACCCCTGGCATTAAACCTGAATAGGGAATTCTGCATTCATTCATAAAGCCAAGGCTCTTCTCTCCGCCTCCAGTTACTTTTGGCAAATGGGAACGCACAGCTTTTCCAAGTGATTACATGAAAGTGGGGTGCTGACTGCATCTTCCTCAACTTCAAATGCTTCTCTAGAGGCTGTACTCTTTTCTTTTTCTTTTTAAAGAAACATAGACGCTGCCTTCACTTCACTCTAGGGGAGGCTCCTTGTTTAACATGAACTGCCTAGTTCCTGGAATATAGATTTTCAAGCAACTTATAGGGTCTTCACCTGAGTCACCCTGCCAGTGCGTTCTTTCTCTGGAATTTGCCGATAGCTGCCTCCAAGCTGGCTAATGCTTAATGGCGATATGCAAGTATCCGGGGGGGGGGGGGAGCCTACCTGTTAGCCTTTGCTTGCCTGATGCCTTACTCCTCCCCAGGAGGCAGGGAACCAAACAGTAGCCACTCTCAGCAAAACAGGTCACTGTGGCGCACGCTGCCAAAAAGGGCTGCCTTTCCTAGTTGTTTCAGTCTGTTGCTCTTAATTGATCCCTTTGCTCTTAATTTGCCCCTTCTTCTTTTTAAATAAATGTTATTGTTGCAACACAAACACACACGGCACTAAAAGAATAAACTTAGAAAGAAAATACTGTACAAATACAAGTACGAATATAGACACAAATAATAAACAAATAATAAACATATCACCATATTTCACTTCTTGCTTTCTTCTAATTGACTTCCTTCGTCCTCAACGCGGGTTTAAAACCAGTGCAGCGCACAGAAATGCCGTTTGCCTTCCTGCTGGAGTGGTACCTATTTATCTACTTGCACTTCGTGCTTTCGAACTGCTAGGTTGGCAGGAGCAGGGACCGAGCAACGGGAGCTCACCCCGTTGCGGGGATTCGAACCGCCGACCTTCTGATCGGCAAGTCCTAGGCTCTGGTTTAACCCACAGTGCCACCCACGTCTACTTTCATATTTAATAAACTGTTTCCTTCTCATTTCGTTTTCTCCTACTTTTCTTTCTATTTTAGACTTTAACAGCTTAATTTGTTTTGCAAAAGTTAATCAAAACAAGTCCACGTATTAATTTGAGGACACTGCTTTTTAAGATAATCTCTATTTTCCCCATTCCTTTTGAAAGTTTTGTTTAGACTGACCCCTAACTGCATCTGTCATTCTAGCCAACTCAAAGTAATCACATAATTTTTCTTGCCATTCTTTTTTTGTTGGTCTGACTTGTTTTTCCAATTTTTGGCAATTAGGATTCTTGCCGCCGATGTTGCATACAGGAATATTTTTGTGTTTTCCCCAGTGATATCTGAATCTAATATTCCCAATAGAAAAGCTTCTGGGTTGTTGTTTTTTTACGAAAGTTTATTTAAATATTTTCTTCAACTCCTCATATACCAAATCCCAGAAGTTCTTAATTTTATCACAGGTCCACCACATATGTAGGCGCGTCCCCGCTGCTTGATTGCACCTCCAGCAGAATTTAGGTTTTGTTTTATACATTTTAAATATTTTGCGTGATGTTGAATACCATCTATAAAACATCTTTAACAAATTTTCCTTTATCGTCTCACAAGCTGCAAATCTCCAATTCTCTTTCCATAATTTCCCCCATGATGATAACTGAATAGGTTTGCCAATGTCCATTGCCCATTTAATCATTACCTCTTTTACTTGTTCATCCTTCACCTCCCACTCTAGTAAAGTTTCATACATTTTTGAGATTACCTTTATCCTATTTTGTAACAATTCTTTGTCCTATATTCAAATTTCTCTTGCAAAACCTTTTTTTTAATCTGTTCTGAACACTTCCGAACAGTGTTCTGATGGTGGTACTGAATCCACCCTGTTTGGTGATGTTTTACTTCCTCATATTTTTTCAGTTTCAATTTGTTACCTTTTTCTTCTAGTAATTAATTTGCCCCTTCTAGGCAACTATGCAAGTTGAGCCCTGAAGGAGAAAGCTGGACTGGGCAGGGCTGACGGGGCAATGAGGTAGGGTGTTCATGAGCAGGGGGACAGAGGGCATATTTCCCAAGCACCCCCCCAAAAAAGAGGGGGGGGACTGAAGCCAGCACAGGAAAGGAGGATGGAATCATGGAAATTAAATGGAAAAGAAAACAGGGAGGGTTTAGATAAAGGAGGGAATTAATTGGAGCATATGTGATTATTATTATTTTTTAAGATCCATAACCTTAGTTTAGTTGATCCATAAGCCTATAATCTCATGGAAAGTAGTAGCATAGAAAATGTTTATATCCTACAAAATGATCATTTTAATATTTTTTCCCAAGTAAATACCACCCAGTCTAATGAGACTTAGTTCACGTACGTAAAAATGAAAGCTCGGGATTTGTGACTTTGCCAACTGCTGCGATTTGGGGATAAGGGGAAAGCCGATCTGCAATATCTGTTCAATGAGAACTGCAGTCTGCAAATACTCAAAACTAGTTTTCAGCTTTAAATTGCCTTTGTCCTGCTCCCCTTGCCCCCCTCTCAGTCCTCCTCACAAGCTCTTCCAGGTGATTTGTGTTTATGATGTGGTTTTGTTTTCTGTCCATGTTTGGGTTATTGTGTGCTGAGCCTAGTTAGCTTTTTGTTAGAGAAAGGCACTCCACGCGTGTTCAGAGGTACTGGCTTGAGTTGGGCTGGTGTTAGACTCTGTAGTGAGGAAGTCTCAAGCTTGTTGAAAGCCTAACGTAATATAGTGAATAAGAGCAATTATTTATCAGCTGGCATTCCCCCTGCTTCAAGTCTCAACACTATCATGAACTCACAAGGTGACTTGAGGCAGGCCACAGTCTTACACCCCCTTGATGTGAGAGTCTGCCTAACTTTCCAAAGTATTGTAAAGATTGCTGTGATATATATTCCAGGGAGTTGTTAGACTGCGGAGAAAACAATCATTTTAAGGAGTAGTAGATTTATTGTGGCATAAGTTTATGGACCGGAGCTCACTGCATGCATCTGTGAGTACTCTGTACTACAAAATGTCATGCTGCAATAAAGCTGTTTGTTTTCCAGTGTCAGAAGATTCTTGCAGTCGGTGGAATTCAGTGAGTTTGGCAAGAGTTCCCTTAAGAGATTCTTTCAATACTGTTAAGGGAACTCTTCTCGAACCCACTGAATTCCACTGATGGTAGCAGATTGACAGGGCGAATGGAGGTGGATCACCCCCACTTGATAGACGCGCTGACAAACACAGCATTCCTCAGATCCAAAGATCTTCCAAAGGACCGCTGCAATGTCCTACAGGGGCAGTGGGAGGGCAGCCCCCCTGGGGCATGGACAAGGCTGTCTGCCTGAGGAAGGGAAGACTGGTGAGCCAGAAGAGGCTCTAATGGCCTGTTGGCTTGCTTGATCAAGAACTCCATTCTGAAACTGCAGAGGTGCTTTCTGTGCAGCCAGTTTGCAATGGGGGCACATTTCACAGCTGTGTTCTGAGAGACTTGCACCCAAAATGCCTTATCATGCTGGGACTTCGGCTCATATGTTGCGTTTGTATTTTTCATCTCTCCATCAGTACTAAACAAGGTACCTGGTCCCTGAGTTTTGTTTTAAAGCTGCTCTTTGAATAGAAAGGTCACTGCTTGCAATAAAAGGAAAGTTTTATTTCCTTATACTAGTGAGTTGGCTGTGCAGTCTCTCAGAATTTGGCATCAGCATAAATGCCAGAGTAATTCTGAAATACATTTGAGTTGTAACCAAGTGTTGAAGGTGGAAAGGAAATCATGGCTATCATCTTCAGTCCTCCTCAATTTAATATATATCTTGGTCTTTCAGCTTCAAATCAGCTTCAAATTCTTCTATGTGGTGCATGGCTTCCATGCTCCTGGTGGCAACAAACAAGTCTCCTTGCCCTTTGCTCCATTGCCAACGGGAAGCAGAAGCAGAAGACAATTGGCTGGCAGCCTTTGGCAATGAAGACAAATTAAAGGAGCCCTCCCACCACTTAGGGCATATGGGAAAGGGATGTTGAGGCCCAAAGTAAGCTGGATCCACAGGTTGCAGGAGGTATTTTCCTCATGTTCTCTCCTCTGGAACTTCACATAGAGGGAAATGGGGAAAGGTGCCTTCTGGATGTCTGTAGAGCCCTGAGGTTCTGTATGGATAGATAAGTGAGACAGTTTCTACTAAGCTTTCTCCAGAGGTGGTCCAGGTCATCCATCCTTTTCAAATCCCAAAACTCTTCCTATTATTATCTTTTCAGTCATGGGGGAATGTTGCTCCCCATGGGCCCAACTCCCCACTGCCAGACTCCAGTGGATAGAACTTGGGGTTCTAGTAAAAAACAAAGTAGATCCTGAAAGTCCAAAGTCTGCCCATCTCTGCAGTATGGGAATTGCAGAAGCACAAGCAATAATACCCATTTTTTAAAACCCTTCAAATTTAGGTGAACCAAAGTGGCATCGCCATAACTGCATGAGGCAATGATCAGGGCTACTCATAGGATCCCCAACTTGGCACATTTTTGGAGGACATAAGGTGGCACCCTCAACTATTAAGAAAGCTAGAGCATTGGTGTTTGCCTCTCAGTGAACCTTCTGGTTCAGAAAAAAATATTAACCAGTAGACTACAAAAAAGCTTTTGAAATACCGCTGTGAGGGACCTTGTTGCTTGGTCCGAATATGCAACGATGACCCCTGGGAATACTAAGCGAAATTCAATTTTCTTTTGGTTTATCACCCGTCAAACAGGCATTGACATTCTGAAGCTGGTGGCAGCCCAAGTTGGAAGCCAGTGGAAGGAGATCTACCAGTTCCTGTGCAATGCAAGCGAGCGGGAGGTGGCTGCTTTCACCAGCAGCTATTCTGCAGACCACGAGAGGGCCTATGCAGCTTTACAGCACTGGACCATCAGGGGCTCTGAAGCCAGCCTTGCCCAGCTGATCAGTGCTCTCCGTCAGCACCGGCGCACGGATGTGGTGGAGAAGATCAGGGGCTTAATGGAAGACACGACACAGGTAAGATACACATGTAATGCTTGGCTCTGTTAGCTCATGCCCAGCACAATCCTGACCATGTCAGCTCAGAGGTAAGACCTATTGGATTCAATGGGACTTACTTTCAGGTAAGTGGAATTAGAGCTGCAGCATTAGTGAATTAAGGCTCGGTCCCTGCTGCTGATTTTGAGGCCTACAAACAGGATAGCCCTTTGTAGGGTTTAACTACCTTCATAGCACCATAGACTTGTAGAACTGGAAGGAAGACTGGTGGTCATCCGGTCCAGTCCCCTGCAATGCAGGAATCTTAACTCATATCCTTACATTCCTGGCAAAATGTTGCCAGTTTCTTATGGCCTGAAAGATTTTCCTCAACGATCTGATGGAGCTCCACTTTTTGTGTACCATGAATTCATGGAACCTGGAGGAAATCATGCATCCCGTTTTGAGAGGTGGCTGTGCCGATAGATAATAACGGAACCCTTGTGTTCTTGGACCAGACCTTCGCCTCCTTCAGGCATCCTGGTATTGGTTACATGTGTCAAGCAGGAATTGTACAGCAAAATACAGGGAGCTAGCAGAAGAATTCCCCTTTCCCCTTGTTTCCTTGTTCCTTGTTTCACTCCATGCTTCTGTAAGCAGTTGGAAGCCCTGAAATGACACTAGTACCTACCAATTAAGCAGTGCATAATGTAGTTTAAAGTTGCTTTCTGAAACAATTGGCCAGTGTCAATCCTATAGTTAAGCAGCAAAGTGGGACTTTACCACTATCTTCCAGCAATCTCTCAGTATTACGGAGATCCTGATTATACCACAGAGAGTGCACCATTTCATAATGCCAAGTCAGCAGCAGGTGATTTTCTACACATTTATTTAAATCAGGTTTGCCTCTGCCTTTTATTTTTAAACTGTATTATACTTTTCCAAGCACGTTTCTGAGCACAATTCAAAGTGTTGGTGCTGACCTTTAAAGCCCTAAATGGCCTGGGTCCTGTATACCTGAAGGAGCATCTCCACCCTCCTTGTTCAGCCCAGACACTGAGGTCCAGCTCCAAGGGCCTTCTGGCGGTTCCCTCACTGCAAGAAGCCAAGTTACAGGAAACCAGGCAGAGGGCCTTCTCGGTGGTGGCTCCTGCCCTGTGAAATGCCCTCCCATCAGATGTCAAGGAAATAAGCAACTATCTTACTTTTAAAAGACATCTGAAGGTTGCCCTGTTTAGGGAAGTTTTTAATGTTTAATGCTGTATTGTGTTTTTAACATCCAACTGATGGGCGGGGTATAAATAATATATTATTTATCATTATTTTTATTATGATTACTTATGGGCATTCATGTTTCCTTTTGCTGAAAATCTTCTCTCTGAAGAAAGACCTGACTAACGCAATTATGTGGGTTGTTGGTCCAAAGCCAGAGGCTTTTCTGACAACATTGAGCTTTTGTTCTTGTTCCTGTTTTCCCTAGTAAATATACTTTGCAATAGATCATGGTGTATCAAAAAGTTTTGTGTGTTATTGTGTTCCTTTCAGTGGGGCAGTTTTTTTACGAACAGGGTGCTGCATGAGTGACTCCTCAAGTCTGTTTTGTGTTATCTGAAATTTGCTCTCCTAGGCTTCGTTCTTGTGGGTGCAGGATTCTCAGCTGTAACCTGAGCAGAGTCATCTGTGCACCAAGCTTGGCTTCTGATTCATTGTTTTAAATAATGAATACCTTCGTCTCACCATGTTATGCGCTGCAGTTCCTGTTCTAATTTTAAGCAGCAGAAAGCTAAGCATTTTTCTCTAACCTCTTCTTAACTGTGCCACACACAGCTGTTGTCTCTGTGTTCGGTGCTAGATGAGTTCTTGCATCAAATATTTGTGTCTAAAAGCTTAATGCAACATCACCCTACCTAAAATCATGTCATGAATATGATTCTTTGTCTGTTATGTTTCTGTGGGAACTCAAAGGAACTGCAGAATGTGGTAGTGGGTGCAGACTTCAACTTGTATCTTAAGAATTCATTCCTTCGTTCATTCAAAGCTTCACAGAACAGCTTACATATCAATATGATGAACAAAGTCCCTGCCCTCAGGCTAGCAGTGTGAAAAGACCTAGACACACGAGGAGGTGTCTTGTGAGGTGCTGGGCTCTCCTACCTTGGAGGTGTTTAAGCAGAGGTTGGTTGGCCATCTGTGAGGGAGGGATGCTTTGGCTGAGATTCCTGCATTGCAGAGGGTTGGACTAGATGACCCTCACGGTCTCCTCCAACTATGTCATGGCTTTCATTGGCTTTTCTGGTTGCAAATGTACATTTTCAGTTGGTGATATCCAGCCAAGTCATAGTCTGAGTACTTAAAGTAATTCACTTAAGTCCATTGATTTCAATGGGCTTACTGTGAACATGGCTGACATTGACTATTGCTCAATGCCTCACCCATGCCCGATGAAGTCTCCAAAGTGAAAGGAATACAGTGGTACCTCGGGTTAAGAACTGAACTCGTTCCAGAGGTCCGTTCTCAACCTGAAACCATTTTTAACCTGAGGTACCACTTTAGTTAATGGGGCCTCCCACTGCCGCCACACGATTTCTGTTCTCATCCTGAAGCAAAGTTCTTAACCCGAGGTACTATTTCTGGGTTAGCGGAGTCTGTAACCTGAAGCGTTTGTAACCCGAGGTTCCACTGTAGTTTCCATGGGGCAGATGGTGGGGCTTCAGTGCCTTGTGTGTAATTAATTCCTTGGCTCATCCCTATGACTGCTGGAAAGAGAATAAATGAGGTAAAATGAGGAAGTGTGTAGATTTGCCCAATTCAAGCCAGTTGCAGAATTTGGTTACTTGGTGCAGAAGTTTGATAACAGTTTTGCATACAGTCTTGGAGGTGACAGAAAATCAGTCCTGGGTTGTTGTGTTCAGTATTCTGTTAGTATCCATTCCTGCTCCAGTAGGATATCCAATAAGAAGTCGTCATCGTCTGATCTGGATTTTGCATTCCATTGTCCCAGTGCAAAATCCTGGACACTGTTCATTTGAGTCCTCTGGTGTGGCATGTTTAAAAACCACTCTGTGCAGTACATGGGGACAGGAGAAACTGCCTTTTGCTGAGCTCGGTTGCTGGTTCATCTCTCTCAATACTGGGCTGGCATCAGCTCTCCGGCGTTTCAGAGGGGATAATCCCAGCCCTGCCAAGAGGGACCTTCTTCTGCATGCCGAGCAGGTGCTCTGCTGCTGAGCTACAGCCCGCCCTTCTCCATAGCAGCCGTTTGTCCAAGAACATCAAGTGTGTACTGACTGACTGACTCTTTGGCAGAAAGCCAGCGGTGTTTCATAACAGCCTCCTAGTGTTTTGCTTACAGTACATGTACAGTCAGCAGATTTGCATGACATTTTTCCTGCATAAATTGGGCTTCTAAAAACTATTATTGCATGAATGCCATAAAACTGAAGGAAAGGAAAGCAGTCCCCTTAAGTGCATCTGGCTGGCTGGCTGGCTAGGTGGCTCTTTGTGTTCCCAGACCCTTGTCCCCATCGCCAGGATACTGTAAGTTGTTAGGGGTTCAAATAGACTAATAATCCCTAATTCTTCCCCTCCCTTTTTAACTGACACTCTCAATGTTTCATAAGTCCTGGAATATTGGTACTGTCAGGCTGTTCAGGTTCTTGTTTGCAAACTAATACGCTTCTGTGTATATGGGAGGAGGGGGAAAGGGCCCTAAGTATGCAGAAATGACTGACTTGTTTTGGGTGGTTTTGCTTTGCTTTGCTTCCCAACCACCGAAGTTTGGTATTAAAGGTAAAGGGACCCCTGACCATTAGGTCCAGTCGTGGACGACTCTGGGGTTGCGGCACTCATCTCACTTTACTGACCGAGGGAGCCGGCATAGAATCATAGAATCATAGAGTTGGAAGAGACCACAAGGGCCATCGAGACCAACCCCCTGCCAAGCAGGAAACACCATCAGAGCACTCCTGACATATGGTTGTCAAGCCTCTGCTTAAAGACCTCATGTGGCCAGCATGACTAAGCCACTTCTGGCGAACCAGAGCAGCGCACGGAAATGCCGTTTACCTTCCCACTGAAGTAGTACCTATTTATCTACTTGCACTTTGTGCTTTCAAACTGCTAGGTCGGCAGGAGCAGGGACCGAGCAACGGGAGCTCACCCCGTCATGGGGATTCGAACTGCCGACCTTCTGATCGGCAAGCCCTAGGCTCAGTGGTTTAACCCACAGCGCCAGCTGCATCCCTATGGATGCTTGCAACAAAATGCTGCAGTGTGACAAATCCCCCAACAGGAATGCTCCTGTTCAAGCTTTATGGGCATGCATATGTACTCAGTGCTTGGTTTGGGCCCCTTTTGCATCAATTACTGCGGCGTGGCATGGATGCTATCAGCCTGTGGCACTGCTGAGGTGTTATGGAAGACTTCTTCAATAGCTTCAATAGCAACCTTCAGCTCTTCTGCTTTCTCGGTCTCATGTCTCTCATCTTTCTCTTAGCAATGCCCCATAGATGCTCTATGGGCTTCAGGTCAGGTGAGTTTGCTGGCCAATCAAGCACAGTAATCCCATGGGCATCGAACCAGGTTTTGGTACTTTTGGAAGTGTGGGCAGGTGCCAAAGTCCTGCTGGAAAATGAAGTCAGCGTCTCCATAAAGCTCGTCTGCGGAAGGAAGCACAAAGTGCTCCAAAATCTCCTGGTAGACGGCTGCGTTGACCCTGGACTTCATGAAGCACAGGCTGATAGCATCCATGCCACGCTGCATTGAGGCAGTAATTGATGCAAAAGGGGCCCAAACCAAGCACTGAGTACATATGCATGCTTCTACTTCTCAGAGGTCCAATATTGCTCTATTTGCAGTCCTTGTTTTGCTGATTTCATTTAATATTCTAATTTTCTGAGATTGTTAATTTGGGGTTTTCATCAGCTGTATGCCATGATCATCACAATTATAACAAATAAAGGCTTGACATATCTCGCTTTGCGTGTCATGAGTCTATCTCATATATTAGTTTCATCTTTTAAGTTGAATTACTGAAATAAATGAACTTTTCCATGATATTCTAATTTTCCAAGTTTCACCTGTAGACATGATGGTGTGAGCGGGGAATTGTAAATAGCAGGGTCTTGGAAATTGTTGAACCTTTCTTTTTTTAAAACACCCACATGTAATATTTCTGTGAGATTTGTCTGCATTACAAACCACGGTTTAGTATTGCATCTGATCTGGGCCATAGTCATCTTGGCTACTGGGCAAGCTGGCTGTAGTTGTTATGCAGGTGCTATAATTAATACAACACTTTCCATTTACACAGCTCTTTATCTCACCTGGCCACAACCTTGTAAGGTAGGCCAGCAGGATTACCATGTGGACTGAGGCTGAAAGAATAGTGACTGTCCCAAGACCATCTACTGGATTTGTGACAAATGCGAGATTTGAATGGAAGCGAGTTGAGTCCCGCTTGATCGTTTCACTTCCCCAGCTCTGCATGTGGTTGGAAATTTGAGCTTCTAATCTGCTCTTTGGCTACAGAATCCACCCACCTCTGGTGAAAATAAAGGAAGGGGTCAAGTATGCCCCTGGGAGAAATTCTGGCAGACTAGACACCTACCATTTTGATGTTGGCGCTGATAAGGAAAAGTTCTGGGGTGAGAGACTACTCAACAGCCCAGTACAAGTCCCCCACAGGTCCATGCGGTCAGTAAAAGAAGGAAATTCTAGCCAAACAGTGGTCAGTAGATCATGATCTTTATTGTTGCTCAGCAGGTCCCCACAGGAGTAAGGAACTCCGAGCATGGGGCAACATTGACTTTTAAAACTTCCCACAATATCCCAGAATACAGTTCATGCAGCATCATTGATACATCATCTTTACATCACTGACATGTCACAAAAGGGGAGGGGGTAGACAGAGGTTACACTAGTTCAACCTTGGCAAACATGTCCAGACGAGACCTTGGTACAAGATTAAGCATAGGCAAAACATGTCCAAGCGCCTCTCATGGGGGTATGGGTTTGTTTTTGTTTGCATTTTTTATTATGTGTTTCGTGTTTTTTATCTCGTATTTTTTATGTTGTGAACTGCCCTGAGATCTATGGTTAAAGGGTGGTGTACAAATGGGACGCGGGTGGCGCTGTGGGTAAAAGCCTCAGCGCCTAGGACTTGCCGATTGAAAGGTCGGCGGTTCGAATCCCCGCGGCGGGGTGCGCTCCTATTGCTCAGTCCCAGCACATGCCAACCTAGCAGTTTGAAAGCACCCCCGGCTGCAAGTAGATAAATAGGGACCGCTTACTGGCGGGAAGGTAAACGGCGTTTCCGTGTGCTGCGCTGGCTCGCCAGATGCAGCTTTGTCACGCTGGCCACGTGACCCGGAAGTGTCTCCGGACAGCGCTGGCCCCCGGCCTCTTAAGTGAGATGGGTGCACAACCCCAGAGTCGGACACGACTGGCCCGTACGGGCAGGGGTACCTTTACCTTTACAAATTTAATAAATACATAAATAAAAATATTTTTAAAATACAGGATTTTAGCAGAGAATTGCATGACTGGGATCCGACTGTTTAGCCTGAAGGCTGCCTAGAAGGAGACACACAGAGTCTGGAGAGTCGTGGTGGATTATACTGGGTTCATGGAGATATTTTATTAGCAGTCATGGGAGCTAATTGCCTTGAGTAACTGAGGGTAACAGTATCTGCTCTCCTGGGCGTCCTCTTCTGTCCTCCTATGACCCCTTTTCATTTCCTATTTCCTCTTGTCTCTCCCTTCCCTGCCAGTGCCAGCTGCTCCTGACGCAGGCCCAGTCAGCCGCATTGCACAGAGGCAGCCCTTTCTTTGGGAAGGACCAGGAAGCTCTGGGCCCAGATGCTCCATGCTGCAATTTAGGGAAGCCACAGGGCTGAGAAGCAGTTTAGGAACCTGCTTCCGAGCCCAGTGGAGATTGGGCCGACTGCTTGAACGAACGGCTCAGAATGTGTTTTTATTGCCGTTAAACCTTCTCAGTTTAACAGCACTGACTTCTGTATATTGATGATTCCGACTGGAATATTTACTCATTTTGCGTCTCGTGTTTGGGCCATGTATTGAGGCCTTTTTACTGGTGGTTAGCAATATTAATCTCTCTTGACTTAAACTGCCAGGAATGCCACAGCTACGAATGTTGGGTTGATCAAAAAAGTAGCAAGCTATCTCTAGTTAGCAAAGCAGTAAGTATTTGGATGTTTGCGAGACCTAGCACCCTTGACGGAATGCTTGTGAGCTGGAGGGAGGCAAGCAAGTCCTGTGCTCACCTTGGTCCAAAATAAAAAAAAAATCCGTCCAGTAGCACCTTAGAGACCAACTAAGTTTGTTATTGGTATGAGCTTTCGTGTGCATGCACACTTCTTCAGATACACAAAAGCTCATACCAATAACAAACTTAGTTGGTCTCTAAGGTGCTACTGGACAGAATTTTTTAATTTTGTTTCGACTACGGCAGACCAACACAGCTACCTACCTATAACTAGAACTATGGAAGGCATCACCTTGGTCCAGTGAGTCCCACCACTGAAAGGCCCTTCTACTGACTCTGGGGAATGTAACGGAGGCGGGCAGATACTCCCTGAGCCCAAGTAGAGCAGAGTTTTCTCCTGGGGATGCAACCTGGGGCTCAAATGTCATTCTCCCCAGTGGAAATGACATGGATAATGTTAATTTCCACCTGGAGCTCTGTGACTCGTGGTCCCGGCAGGAAAAGGCGCTCCACCAGTAGCAGAATACAGTGGTACCTCGGGTTACAAACACCTCAGGTTACAGACTCTGCTAACCCAGAAATAGTACCTTGGGTTAAGAACTTTGTTTCAGGGTGAGAACAGAAATCGTGTGGCGGCAGTGGGAGGCCCCATTAACTTAAAGTGGTACCTCAGGTTAAAAACGGTTTCAGGTTGAGAACGGACCTCCGGAACGAATTAAGTTTGTAACCAGAGGTACCACTGTACTGGGCTTTGGGAGCAGTCCTTGAACTTTGTGTGACTGTTTCGTTTGAACACTGGCAAATAAATGGACCCTTTTGGGCTGAGCAGTTCAGTTGCTCGTGCGTTCCTATTTCCAGCGAGGAAGGCAGTAGCTATTTGGCGGAAAAGCATTTTTAAGGCTTTGGTCATGATTGAGCCTGAGCAAGTGGCTTTTCTTCTTGCTTTAATACAATTCTAATTCCTATTAATTCTCTTTCCTTGCCATATTCAAATATATGTACAGGCCGTAGCTCAGAAGCAAAGCACATATCTGATGCCGACATCCATTGTCCCCAACACCTTCCATTAAAAACATCTCTGGTTGCATGGCTGGAGGTACATGCGGCCGCAGGAACATTTTAGCTTCTGCCTTTGGCATTGTCTCTGAGCATGTCTTCTCTCTCACACAGTGTTCTGTATTCTGTAACATGTAAAGACATTGTAGCCTAGCACCTTCTTTAGCATGCTAATTTCCTACCCACAAAGGGAATTTCCAATAGGATGAGCCCCTCCTGCGATCTGGCCCACCTCATTCTGCTGTCTCCTAGCCTCCATTACGTGTGCTCAAGCACAAAACCATGCACAAGGGCGCTCGTTCAGAGGGGGAAGAAGAGAAGAGGACGGAGCTACCAGTCATCTAAGCTACCAAATATCAAAGCCCAAACAGTTGCTGTGTAGGAAACTTGTTTCTGCTTCTCTCTTTTTGCATGTGGAACCTGCACGTGCTCAGCTGAGTTCACTTGAGTTTTAAGACATTTTTACATGAATGCTGCTTTGTTCAAATTGAGAATTGAATTGGCTAGCTGAGCCCTCTGTGCGTGTGTTTATTCTCCTTTTGTTCTTGGGAACCCTTCCGCCCCCCCCTTTAAAGCAAGGCTCTGTGGGTGAGTCAGCGTTCAGCCCCGGCTGCAATAGACTTGCTCTTGATGTCAGAGCATTAGGCAGGATGCTGGCATGCACAGAGGGTCCTAAGAGGCTCTTTGTCCATCTAGTGGTTAAATAATTCAGTTTTGCTTACCCCCCCCCCTTTTACTGTGTCCACTTCTTTAAAAATTCACTTAAAAGTATATTACTTTAAAAGCCCCATTGGACGTTCAAGTTCCAAAAGAACATTCTCAAACCGGAAAATCACTTCTGGGTTTACAGTGTTCAGGAACCAAAATGTCCGAGTTCCAGGGCGTTTGACAACCAAGGTACGACTGTTTCTTGGGGAAAGGGCAGCCTCTTCTTACTATTCAACACAGGCACTTTTGTGCAAGTTACTGATGCCTCAAAGCCATTTATTAGTTTTAGTGTTTAACGGAAACCCAAATGAGTAACTGTACATTCAAAAGTAATTGATATAAACTACTGTAAGATGGCATGCAGTTTCATAGTGCAATGAAACCAGAGCTTTTGCCCTCCTGAAGAGGGGCGAGCAACTGCCTCAGGCAGCAGCAACAGACAAGGCAACAGGAAGGGAGCTTCAGAAAGCAGAGGGTTGTCTGTTGCTCCCTCCCCTAGTCTGGCGGACTGGCAAGAAGCCCTTGCAGAGTCCGGCCCCGAGCCCCTCACCCCGCATGCTCAGCAGGGAAGCTTTGCAAGGGGTTCTCCTTAAGGTTGTTCAACCCAGCTGTGAAAGTTAGACCGTGGGGTGCAGAGAATGACCTGGCCCACCAGCCCAGAAGGGTTCTCCACTCCTGCTCAAAACCAGCATTTATTGGCCTGTGATTTTAAACCTGAGTGAGAGAGAACCTGCACTGACTCATCTTGTGTGTGTGCTCTGAAGTCAGCCCTGTTGCTGCAACTGCTTCATCATGAGGATCAATCATTGCATTTTTTCTGCCCCTGAATGAACAACAACACCCCCCCCCCAAAAAAAAGGTACAGGAAAGATTGGCAATGTCCTGCTCCTTTTATTGGCCCCACACTCAGTTGTGGAGTGGAGAATTTCTTTAGCTAATAAGCTTTTCATGTTAATGCCGAATAATTCTCTGCAAGCAGGTTGTTTTAAGTTCTCCTAGAAGTGGATTGGCTGATGGTTCTTCTCAGCCCTGCAGGGTGTGACCTCTTGCACTGCAGAGATGCAATACTGCTGACTCCTCATGTCCGATGCATTTTGCGTCCTTGTCTTTCAGCTTGAAGTTGACAAATCGGCTCTTCCTGCAAATCTTGCTCCTCTAAGTCCTAGCCCAGCTCCAAAGCCAGATGCAGCCATTATTCCCGTGGATCCATCTCCCTTGGAGAAGAACAAGTGCTTTTTTGTGGATGAGTCAGAACCGCTTCTGCGTTGTGATTCAACCTCCAGTGGCTGCTCTGCTCTGAGCCGAACAGGCTCCTTTATTACCAAAGGTACTGAATTTTGCCAGTCTGAAATCTCATCTCATGCTTTAGTGTTTTTTGTCAGACTTCAAAGTAAATGGAACAACAGTAACATATTAGGAATGCAGACTTAGATTTTGTTGCCCAAAATACAGCAGTGTGTGTTTCTAAACATTCCTTTTGATGATTATCACCCATAAGGCAAGTTATCTACAAAGCAGCTTTGTTGTTGATTTTATGCCATGCCAAACATTTTAAAATAACTGCAATTGTTAGTTCCATTTTTTCCTGTCATTGCTCAAGGTGCAATTCCCTCCCACTACTTTATCCTAACAGACCTGTATGGCCCAGGTGGGTCATCTGGGGTACCATTTTCCATAAGCCAGGCAAGAGGATGCTGGGCTACCATGATAGAGGGGTTTGGAAGAACCTTAGCCCCAAAATGCTGGAATCTGAGCTGATAGGAAAACAGGATAGAAATAAGAAGCTCAGGGTATTGCAAACAGGCCCTTAAGTGGGCAAGAAGCGGATTCCACATGAACCAGATATGGATGGATTAATGAGCAGCATTTGCATAGCAAGTTTAGGGGTGGGGTGGGCTGATTTGCTGCAAGAATGCAGATTTCCCTGTTGGGTTGGATCCAGACTTACAGAGCAGTGCAAACCCTTGTTATTCCAGGCTGGATGGGTTTGGGATGAAGTGGAGGTGTCTTTCCATTCAGTTCTGCTTGGTTGTGCCGTTGGAGGTTTTACTGTTTCATCCTTAGTCTCTGTTAGGTACTTGCAGCTATCAGGCTGCCCTTAGGACTCTGGGATAAGCAAGAAGTGGGTGGTCTCCATTTTTCAAAACATTAAGCTCATCTGTTGCTGCAGTCTCTGTTACACACAGATTTCTGGCTAGGCAGAAAGCAGGTGTAAAGAGAAATATGACAGTCTTAATAGTATAGTAGAATTTCCTTTGATTAAACAGTGTCTGCTCTAAGCACGCTGAGAGCCTGGATCCAACCTCAGGAGTGTAACTTATAGTTTGGCTCTGTGTTGAGGCTTCAGTTTGCAGCTGCAGAGGTTGCTGTGGCCAAGGGACTTTTGGCAAATCCTGGGTTAATAGCAAAACGCCCTCTTTCTTTCCACAGAAAAGAAGGATACTGTGCTGCGACAGGTGCGCTTGGACCCCTGTGACCTGCAGCCCATCTTTGACGACATGCTTCACATACTGAACCCAGAAGAGCTGCATGCCATTGAAGAGATCCCACAGGCAGAAGATAAGCTGGACAGGCTTTTCGAAATTGCTGGTGTCAAGAGCCAGGAAGCAAGCCAGACTCTCCTGGATTCGGTCTATAGCCACCTGCCTGATTTGCTCTAGACTGGCTCACCAAATGATTGCACGCTGCACACATATTCTGGCTGCTACTTGCGCTCGCTTGGCGCCTGTTAAAGACAACATGCCGGCAGGATATTTTGTAGAACTTGTGGCCAGTATTTTCTTCTAGGTTTTGCTTTTTCCTTCCTTGCCGGAGGAGGGAGGGGCAATGTGCACCCTTTCATGTTTATTATCTGAATTAAAAGGTCTTGTTTCCCCCTCTTAATTACAACATTTTAACCTGTCATTCTAACCACTTAAAAACAACAACCACAGATATTCTTTTCAATTTTATCTGTTGAATTTGGACTGGCTTCATCTACTTCTAATCTCATCATCAATTAGGGGTGTTTTTTGTTCTTCTTTTGATGTTTTATGTGTGGTTTTTTTTTTAACTCCAACTTGAAATATATATATATATTTTCTCATGGCAGGTATTTTTAATTCTCATTTACTGCCCTGCTCATAACTGGAGGCTTATGTGAAAAACGGTTGTCAGTTTGATCAGCTTTTCTTAAGACGTTATAAAGAAAAAGCACCTGCACTGCTGGATGATTCCAATTGTTGATGTTTTACGAGCTCCTTGTATGGTTTCCAAGTGGACAAAGCAGATATTGGTGGGCGACTCCTCCAAAACATGTTACATGTAATTTCTCCAGCCTTCAAGATAATGACATTTTGGCCTGCAGATGAATGTAATTCTGTCCACTCAACTCAAGAGGAGTACTTTGCCTTGCCATTTTAGGATTTCAGTGGGCTTGGTAATTTGGGTCATTTTTGGAGTAGCACCTGGAGCTGGACTCTGGAAGGTAAACAAGAACCCTGGCAGGGCCACATTTCTCATTCTACAAGACATTGATTTGTGCTTCAAATTTTTGTCTTTTTGTGTGTGTGTTTTTTTAAAAAATCTATACGGATGTGGCCAATAGGTTTCAAATACCTCACTTGGTCTTTGCATTTCCCCCTCCACACAGACATCACTTTTTATTAAAAATGCTGCATTGTAAGAAATCTGCCTCTATTATATTTGCAACTACTATGCCAGTAATAAACCAGTCCATGGTAATGCTTACTTTGGAGAGGATGTTGCAAGGTGGAATGTCCTACCTTGCATGGGGAGGGGAAGGAGAGGATGACGTTGAAAGAAACTTGCCTTCTGGTATACTAATTTATTAATAAATAGGTGTTTGCTATGTGATGATGTTTCTGTCTTAACCGCCATCCTTTGTTGGATACCTTGAAAACAGAGTTCTCAATGCCGTGGCTGGGATTTGAATGAGTAAGTGTCCTGTCCCCCTTGTCCCGTCTTGAGACTGCAATTCTGTACTCACTTACCAAGCTGCTTTAGATCCTTTGGGAAATGTTTCTGCCGTGCCTTGAAGTCTTTCTACATCTTCAACCATGAATGAGTTCAGGTATCCATTAAAAACACCAAATACCTGTTTTGCCTTAAACTAGTTGAATTTGGTTTGAGCAGTTACACATTCCTTGTGCTGCTAATCATGGCAAGGAAACCAGAAATATTTTGTGTTGCTGGAGGTTTTGCAAATGGGCTTAATGGATGTTGCAATCCTTGAACAAAGAACAGAGTGAGCACAACTGGAAGGAATGTGGAGGCCAAGTCTCTGTATTGTTTCCTGTCTCTGAGTCACAGGGATCTTTCGGCAGGCTTCCTTGGCTGGCAAGCCAGCAGCCTCATTTCCCCACGCTTCTGTCCTGGCCCTGCATATCCAGCTGGAAAACACAGCTTTTCCTGCACTTTCTAAAATAAAGGTATTCCCTGACATACTCCGCAAGAGTATTAATTAAAAGGGCAAGCATGCTCTAAATTAATTTTGCCACCAATGGGAAGCTAAGAGTTGCCAGGCGTGTCTGTCTGCTTTAGAGACTGCCTTTTGCAATCCTGGTGAATTCCTCTTCAGTGGACGTAAAAAGACATGGTTGGTGTGTCAGAAGTGAAGAGTCGTTGGGGGGCAGGTGGGGATGTCCAGAGAGAGCCTGAGACCCCAAGAGGCATTTTCTGGTGACAACCTAGCTATACCCTTCTGATCAAGTTGCTGTGGAGTACAGTATACTCAAAACATCAATTTTTGTGGAATCAGCTCAATTTTAAATCTAAAGTGACACTACGTGTGGATGCAAAAGCAACTTTCCACTGACTTTGCAGAATGAAACATTTGTAACTCTGTTGCATTCATCTCAAAGATCCTTTACAGCATTCCAATAAGCATTTATAATCTAATCTGTGAACTAATGATTTCCTCCAGCAACACAGTATAGGAGATGCCGAGAATCTCAGAGTTAGAGGAGTCTAAAGATAGACTCCAAAAAGCATTGCCATTCAGTGCTAGCAGAGAAGTATTATCTGAACAGCAAAACTCATAATGGCAAAAATTCATCTGACCCTGTTAATTGAGCTGACATAAATCCTACTTATAAATCCTACTATCAGCCTCCCTCTTGCACAAAAAGGCTGCCTCTCTATTTTCTAATCAGAATAACCCATGAAATTAATTTGGCATGAGCATGTGACTCAAACTAAGCAATGGGATACTATAGACCAGGGCCTCCCTAGCTGTTGTAAGCACACATGGAACTGGTCCTCATATATATATAATTTATATAATGCCACCCATAAAGGGGTTGCCAAGTAGGTCATCTCCAAGACTACCCATGAAAGGGTATTAGCAGAAAGAGACACTTGCACCTCTCGGCACCAACAAAATTGCCAGTTAGAACATAAACTAGATAACTTTATAGTGCCCATTGGCTTTAATTTGGATTTTGACCAATTGATCACCTAGCCAGAAATTCTGATATGGATGATTCAGGCCTACTAATAAACTATTCATCTGCATGCATGGCTATTTTAAATTCCACTCATTCATGTACAAAACCATCAGCCTGTCTTTAGTGCCTAATTGCACTTCCCAATGGATATAAACCTAATGCAAATAGCAGCCCTTACATCTCTAAACCAGGCAAGAGAAAGCCATTTGGCCTCATCAGTGATTTAGTCCAGGGTACAAGTACAATGGGGACGCGGGCGGCACTGTGGGTTAAACCACAGAGCCTAGGACTTGCCGATCAGAAGGTCAGCTGTTTGAATCCCCGTGACGGGGTGAGCTCCCATTGCTCGGTCCCTGCTCCTGCCAACCTAGCAGTTTGAAAGCACGTCAGAGTGCAAGTAGATCAATAGGTACTGCTCCGGCGGGAAGGTAAACGGCGTTTCCGTGCGCTGCTCTGGTTCACCAGAAGCGGCTTAGTCATGCTGGCTCCCTCGGCCAATAAAGTGAGATGAGCGCCGCAATCCCAGAGTCGGTCACGACTGGACCTATTGGTCAGGGGTACCTTTACAAGTACAGTGGTACCTCGGGTTACATACGCTTCAGCTTACAGACTCCTCTAACCCAGAAATAGTACCTCGGGTTAAGAACTTTGCTTCAGGATGAGAACAGAAATCATGCAGCGGCAGCATGGCAGCAGCGGAAGGCCCCACTAGCTAAAGTGCTTCAAGTTAAGAACGGACCTCCGGAACTTAATTAAGTACGTAACCAGAGGTACCACTGTACAATAGTCTAATCCGGAGGAAACCCAAATTTTTCCTAAGCAATAAAAGCCTTTTTCAGCATGTTCTTGTTGTTGTTTAGTCGTTTAGTCGAGTCCGACTCTTCGTGACCCCCTGGACCAGAGTACACCAGGCCCTCCTGTCCTCCACTGCCTCTCGCAGTTTGGTCAATCTCATGCTGGTAGCTTCGAGAACACTATCCAACCATCTCATCCTCTGTCGTCCCCTTCTCCTTGTGCCCTCCATCTTTCCCAACATCAGGGTCTTTTCCAGGGAGTCTTTCTTCTCATGAGGTGGCCAAAGTATTGGAGCCTCAGCTTCAGGATCTGTCCTTCCAGTGAGCACTCAGGGCTGATTTCCTTCAGAATGGATATGTTTGATCTTCTTGCAGTCCATGGGACGCTCAAGAGTCTCCTCCAGCACCATAATTCAAAAGCATCAATTCTTCGGCGATCAGCCTTCTTTATGGTCCAGCTTTCACTTCCATACATTACTACTAGGAAAACCAGAGCTTTTACTATACGGACCTTTGTTGGCAAGGTGATGTCTCTACTTTTTAAGATGCTGTCTAGGTTTTCAGCATAAAGAGACATAATTGCAGCTGTGCCAAATCAATTACTGTTTGAAGCAATTAAATTTGTTAAAAGGGAAAGGTAAAGGTACCATTAGGTCCAGTTGCGGATGGCTCTGGGGTTGCGGCGCTCATCTTGCCTTACTGGCTGAGGGAGCCGGCATTTGTCCACAGACAGCTTCCAGGTCATGCAGTCAGCATGACTAAGCCGCTTCTGGTGAACCAGAGCAGTGCATGGAAACACCATTTACCTTCCCGCCAGAGCGGTACCTATTTATCTGCTTGCACTTTGATGTGCTTTTGAACTACGTTGGCAGGAGCTGGGACAGAGCAACGGGAGCTCACCCCGTCATGGGGATTTGAACCGCCGACCTTTCGATCGGCAAGCCCAAGAGGCTCCATGATTTAGACCACAGTGTTACCCGTGGTCTAACAAATTTGTTACTAGCCTTAAATTATCTGCACTCTGCCTATGGTGAATAAAACTCACCTGACCTGGGTATACTAATGTTGCTAACCTTTTAGCATCTATTGCTGTTAGTATCTTGGCACGTACATTAAGAAAAACAGCCTCTATTATGCATGGTGAGTACTGTCTTCACCAGGTTTGGGAATAATAGATGCTTCTTTGTGGACAGATAATGTGCTCACTGGAAGGACAGATCCTGAAGCTGAGGCTCCAGTACTTTGGCCACCTCATGAGAAGAGAAGACTCCCTGGAAAAGACCCTGATGTTGGGAAAGATGGAGGGCACAAGGAGAAGGGGACGACAGAGGGCGAAATGGTTGGACCGTGTTCTCAAAGCTACCAACATGAGTTTGACCAAACTGTGGGAGGCAGTGGAAGACAGGAGGGTCTGGCGTGTTCTGGTCCATGGGGTCACAAAGAGTCGGACACGACTAAATGACTAAACAACAATGTGCTCAATGACAAGGTTTTAGGCACGTTAACTGCTCATCTGACATTTCCCCTAACAGATACCGTATTGCATTTCATCTGTGCAGTGATATGCAACCTTGAAAATTACCCTCAAGGTTGTTGAGAGTGTGAACTACACAAATCTTTGTTGCCCAATATACAGCTGACCTAGCCTGGCTGTCTGCTTTTAACATGCTGACACCATGCAAGTAATGTCACTGTGGCTGGCACACTGTGGCCTGGTTTGCATATCACTTGAAATCACAGTTAAAATAAACTATGGTTTAATGGGGCTGTGCTAAAATCACAGGAGCTTCCCTCCTCCTTGCTGCTGTGCTGCCCCAAAAAGCTTAGCATTATGGCTGAACCCAAGATCACAGTTGGTTTCTCTCCAAACAAACCATAAGTACCGTAGATTCTGGTGTATAAGGCAACTTTTTAGCCCCGGAAAACAGGTTAAAAAGTCGGGGGGCGCTTTATACGCCGGGTATGGGCGGCACGGAGCGGAGCCCGCCCCCCCCCCCTGCGGCGGCGGTGGCAGCAGCTCCGAAGCAGCAGCAGCGGGCGGCCGGCTCAGCTCCACGCCGGGCGGCTTTCTCGCGACGGGGAGCTGCCCAGCGTATTAGGCAACTGGGCTTATAAGACAAATCCCCAAATTGCAGCTACTAATTTGGGGAGTCGTCTAATACACCCAGTCGCCTAATACGCCGGAATCCACGGTAGTAGGTCTGTTCCTGACTCTGCTTTCACATTAAATGGAAGTTTGTTTTAACTTTGGTTTCGAGTGCTATGTAAAATAAAACACTCTGCACTGCATATCGTGCTTCTGAACGGCCTCAGCCTTATTGTCTCAGACACCTTGAATGGCTCCATACGTTGGGCTGCTCACCAGAACAATTTCAAACCTGTAGTTTTCAGGTTTTAGCAGTTGCCTAATCATTGTTATATCTACAGAGGGCAGAAGGTAAGTGACATATCAATTCTGAAAACACTAGCTGGTGACTTCCTGTAAAGTAAACCTATTAAGGTCTCAAAGATTGTTCTAGGCTTCTAGCTAATGATTAATCCAAGCTAATCCTCTCTATTGTCATATTTGCTAGTCTTAGTCAATTTGAAGTTTCCACTGAATTTCACCTGCAACACAAGTTGAAGGCCCACCAGGGACTGCTGCAGGCCACAAAATATGGAGGGGACAGCAGTGGCCCTCCATGCCCTACCAGAAACAAGTTTTGCTAGAACTTGGGGTTTTGTTCATTTTTAAAAAATACATAAAATTC